ATGGACCCTGGTATATCATACTGATACAATTTGTCAGACTTTTCTGATGTACTGCTCAAAAATACTATGAATTTACAGTATCTCTCTGTTTGGTTAACAGACGCTGTTCTTCTGGAGTTTCCGTAGACAAGTGTCTCTGATGTGCGCACGGCCATCAGACGAAAATGTAACAATGAGCAGTTCAGCCAAAAAAAGGAAAATAATGTGTGGTGGGCGTGTTTTTGTATGGTGGGAGGGTTTAGGGGTGCAATAATAAGGAATGTTGTTTTTCATTGTTCAGTATTCCTCTGCGTTCTTTAAAGTTTATTTGTAATGTTTAGGTCTGCTGCCTGAAATTGACATATTTCTACAAAGTGTACTAAAGTACCAATATTTGAAAATGTGTTGTAAGTTTTATAATGAAAATGGTTAACGTCGATATGTAAATGTTTATACATTCTGAGATAGTACAAGTTATATTATTTGTAATGTACTATAATTTGGACATGTTTCAAATACATTAAAGTATATTTTTTCATCTGCACGGAAGTATATCCACAAGTCTTTCAGCATTTAGTATACTGTTAATACATTTGCAAGAATGTGCAAGGTAGAAAGTAGTATAGCAATGTAATGATAAAGTATATTTACTATTAACTGCAAAGTATGCTTTTTTAGTAATTGGAATAAGCCAACAGTATAATTAAGCATATTATTACCACAGTAAGAGTATATTAAAAGTATAAAGCTTATATATTTTTAAGACACTAACAAATCATTTTTAATGTAGTTATAATACAACCATAGTGCACTTTAATTTGACTAATTAAGCATATATTAGTACATATAAACTCATATACTTAAAGTATACAAAATATACTTTAAGTTGTTCCACTTTAGCACATCAAAGTACACTAAATACACTTCAAGTTGAGCTTGTCCACAATTTAATTACAATTAAAATATATTTAGTACAAAATTAGTTGTTCCAAAATAGCATCCTTCAAGTTAACTAATCATAAACACACTTAAAGTATAGTAATGATTAGTGTGCCTTCAAGTACACAAAAGTATGCAAAATTTTAGTACACTTAGCACATTTATTTTTCAGCAGGGCATGCAGGCGGTGAGTGAGCCTGCATGAAAACACAGGCAAATACCACACTGTCTCAGAACCAGAATGTGTCACTCTTGAGCCTTAGCCAATTTATATAGAAAATCTCTTGCTTTTGTTCTGTTGGCTTTGTGATTCATTCTTTTGCCGTCTTCTTTGCCGCAGTGACACATCTTTGGACAAATAGTTCAACGACGCTGGTTACAAAACACTTCATCTAATTTCCTTTGTTCTATGCTTCTCTATTTACCAACTGGAAAGCGCTTATTAAAGCTCAATGTTAAATCTTCAGACTGATGCACTTCCAAAAGGCATACGGAATAATTATATGACAAAAATGCTGTATTAACATCATTTTATTTTCAAAAGGAAATTTAAAAAAAATATTAAAACCATGCTGTTGGTATTTAAAAGATAATAACCCCTTGTTTAATTGTTAATTCATTTTGATTAACCCGTTTTTGTTTAGCAATTCCCAAGCATTAAGCAGTGTATAAAAAGAGCTTGTCTAATAACGTGAAATTGGCTAAAATGTCTAAATAAAAAAGGACATAAAAAGATGAGAAACAAAATTTTTTACAAAAGTCAAGAAATCCCTTTCTTTATCGTCCACTAACGGTAGAGGAGGGCGATACCAGGACTTTTGGGATCGATCAGATACCAAGTAAATACAGGGTCAGCATGGCTATTGTTTCTGATACTTTAACATAAAGTATCAGAAACAAGCTTGATGTATCCTGCAACTGTTCATTTTTGGGTTATAATTGGACAATTAAACATGAACAAAACAAACTTTAAAGCAATTTACAATTGCACCACAGCAGATATTGCCTATTTGGCTGGTGCTGCTGAGCCATGTGCAAGATTGTGCTGGAGGGTGGGGTGGATCAATTATCGATACGGTACCAGGATCGATCCGCCCACCTCTAACAAATGGAGAAAACATAGAACACATCAATACCTCCTAGGATGTCCTATCGGCGTCCAGACGAAAAGGAACGGGGAATCTATGGGTGAGTTTCAAGGTGGATCATTGCTGCTGAGAAAATGACATCTTGATGAACCCTTTGGAGTATTTTTTAAAATAAATGTATATAGACAGCCTTACATGAGACATTACTGTACGAGTTACTTTTTTATTTTTACTTTATTCTCAGATTTCTTTTTTCAAGTGAATGGCTGGACTCTATATGGATTAAACAAATCAATTTGGATCAACTAGGATTCCCTATAAATAAGTAATTTGGCCAATTTCTCTTTTCAAGTGGTGAGATAAGCTTGTTTTAATATAATGAATCTACTTTTACACTGGAATGGACACAATACAGTATTGATGGTTTTCTATAGGACCTGTCTTACAGTTAGGATTTTATTAAGACACAAACGTTGAAGTTGTAGAGAAGACAAAAAAATGTAGAGAATACTTGTGTATTTTAGTCAATATGCAGTTTTTCTCTATTTTCATCTATTGGACATGAGATGTTATTGGTTATTATCCATTTAACTTTTTATAATTGATGTATTTTTAAGAAAAAATCAATTTGCATTGCTTCTTTGAAGTACAAATCAAATGGTTTCATTTGGACAAAGAAAAGCGAAAATTATTATTTTCAATGTAGACTGAAGGCAATTTCTCACCAACTTTCACTTCAGAATCTATTGCAATGCTTTAAGTACATAAAACAGTTTAGAGTTCAATAAAAGTTTCACACATAGATAAATCCCCAGTAAACATGTTCACGTTAGAGATTGTGCATTATAGTTAGTTTAGTTATTTCACTATGCAAATAGCATTGTAAGAAAGCGGCTTTTTGGCTATTTAGGTTAATTAGCTCCACATTCCAACCAATTCCTCATTTTTTTGCTGTGTAAATAGCCGATACCAAAATCTCATTAGCACAAAAAGCCTTTGGGAAGCGCTGACTTTGTGTAAATGCATACTCCTTTCAGTAAGCACTAACCCCTTTTCAACAACATGCATTTTCAAGCCTGAGGGTAAAGAAAAACAAAACTTTAACTGCTTGATGGTGACATCATCCCAAAAAACAATGACTCAGACGGGCTCGGCTCTTTTATTTCGCCATATGGTTTATTCAATCAACATGCCGCACTAAGCGTTCCCAAAGCTGTGACTCCCTTTGTTAGAGGACCACTCAAAGATGACTCTGTGGATTGTCATAGCCGGTATCATGTTATTCACTCCCGGCTGCAGACTGTACAGTCTTTTAATTACAGTACATGGGGTATAGACATTGACTTATTATCCTAGGCCCTTACTCAACACCAAATGGCCCTTTAGTAAGGGCTCTCACTCAATACTCATCCCCTTTTATCAATGTGCAGCAGTTATAAAGCAGGATGCTTTTTGCTGCTATGCAGCACTTAGACACTCAGGTCTGAAAGCCTATTATGAGACATTCATTCCATGTGAATGAGTGGGTGAGGAAGACCCCCCTCCCTAAAAAAATTCTTGCAGTGCCTTAATGTCACGTCTTTCCTTTGGACTAAAAATATATCTATAGGCAGTCTGAGCTGGAAAGCCAACAACCAAAAAGGAACAGCTTCCTCAATTACAGGATCATATTTTCCCCAAACATACAGCAGCAAAGCGAGACAGCAGGTTGTTCTTTTGGAAAACACTTTTTTTCTTTGCTTGCCTTTTTAGTGAGAACTCCTCAAAAAAAGTTTTGGTCCAACATCCCTTATAATGAATCCAAATTGCCAGTAGTTTCCTCTAAACTAAGAAATCAGCTGCTATTCTCTGAAATAATGCGTGTTCATACTCTCTGGAAAACTGATAAGCGAGTATGAGTTTGCACTTTAGACATTTTTTTTTGTAGTTGGAACATGGTTTTGATGACAGATTAGAAAGAAGAACAGAGAAAAGGATGTGAAAAGTGACCGCTGCTTTTTCATCCAAATTCAACGGTGCATACTAGAGCTGCCTTCTGCGCCTCACGTTTACGGAATGAAAATGACTGTAAAGTGAGTCATCTGAGATCATTTAGACAGCAAGAACACTCCACAGCGCTTTGCAAGAGTTGCATTATTTAAATTGTGTTACCTTTTACGTTTTATTTGGATATGTTGCAGTGGAAAATGTTTTTTGGGGTTAAGCCTCCTTTACTGACCTATCTAAATAAAATCCATAACAAAATAGATATAATCTTGATTTATTCTACGTATTATAAACAGCTTTTCTGAGGAAATGTTGGAGGCTGAGAGAACATTAGTAAATTATGCTAAAATAAAAAATATTTCCTCCATTTTATGGGTGCCTAGCTTTAAGATAGGGTAGTTCATGCTGTAGTAGCATCAGTTGGGCACGTGAATGAGGTCACAGCCACAGAATGAGAGTGAATCCTGTGGTTACTAAACAGATCCTGACTTCTACAGAACAGACAGTGGAGTCATTTTCTTGCCTTATAACAAATACCTGAAGGTCATCACGTATTTTCGATTGGCTCAGCCAACACTATTTACTGAGACACAGGATTCCAAGTAGTACTAACCCACAAATTCTCCTACTACGGTAAGTGACAAGGATTTGACCAAACAGCAGCTGTAAAATGGGAAACCGCCCAAGCTTTTGAGACTCACTGAAGGTAGGGAGAAGCAATACTATGATAAATTCTGTGAGGTATCTTTCTCTGAAATGATTTGCCAAGAACAATATATATAGATATAAATAAAAAAATAGGTCGACTTAGATATACAGTTGTACTACTCTCTGCTGCCATCAAGTGGTAGCAGCTGCTGCTGTCAAGAACACTACTTTGTTAAACCGAATTGTGAGTGAATATAAACATGAGTTAACATACTTAAAAATGAACGGGAGTCATTCTGATACAACAGTGCACTTTAGGCAATAAAATATGGCACGTTAAATAATGAAATCACAACAGAGTAATTCCAAATAAATGTATTGTTAACTTCATCCACTGTACAAAGAAAGAATGGTATTTTCTGGACATTGACGGGTCGGAAATCCCAAGAGGACAGTTGATTTTCATCAAAGTGACAGATTATCTGAAATAAAAAGAAAAAAATAAATACAAGTTTTTTTTTGTTGTCGTTTGTTTATTAGTAGCAGGTGAAGGAGCTGAGAGGTCGTACCACAGGTTTACTCCAGAGCCTTGACAATGGCCTCGTTTGCTTCTATGCTGATCTGAACTTCTGCCCTTGCTGCCTCATCAGCCGTGCCAGCCAGCTCGGACTGGGCTTTTTCCAGGTTGGCCTTAGCTGCCTGAAAGGAAACAGGGAATAAAGGATGAAGATGGGAAGAGTTTAAATACATTTCTATAAAGGTTAGGTTTTACATAGCAAAAAACTATGAACTGGTTTGATGGAAAATAGGATGCATTAATGGATGGAGAGTTAAACTGATGGCAGAAAAAACATTGTATGGATGTAAATTGATTGATGGACAGATTGATGAAAGTTTGATGGATTTAGACAACAGCATGGACTAAAACAATTCAGACAACAGGATGGGTAGACAGATGTATGATGAACAAATGGGTGGATGCTAAACTGTTAAACATATGTATCCAATATTTTTTACTTTTGAAAAAGGAATAAACATGACATTTTTCTTCCCTTCTCAATTCTTTTTCCCAGCACCATCTGTAACTGGGTAAACGCTTCAAATCCCTTACATTTCCAGCCTGTTTAGAATCCCTGTATCCCCCAACCAAGACGTCCGAGTTGAAATAGCCAGGCTGAGCAAGAAGACAAAGACGAGCGGAGAAAATCCCCACTGTCTCTTTGCTCTGAAAGCTCCATTTGTCACAGTCGCGATTAGAAACGAGAAATGCCAAACATAGCTGGAAGTTAAAGGTCTCCCAGTAGGGACTTGGCACATCTGCTATAACTCGACAGTGACTGACCTTTCCCGTCTTATTAACAGTGTGGGCCCATGTGCATTGTTACTATGGAGTGAAAGACAACGAGGAAGGGGAAAAAAAAAAAATAACTCATTTACTGCGACAGAGTCAAGCTGACAGGCCGCAGCACTGCCCAAAGCGAGAGACAGACAGCTCTATGATGAGAGGATAATAACAAAGCCCATCATTATCATGGCCGACATTTAATCTAGCTTTCACCTCCAGACAGGTCAGATGGATGATCATGAAGTTGGAAAAGCTAACCATACGCACTAATCAGAGTTGGAGGGAAATTGAGCCAATTACTATCGTTTAAAATGGCCTAGAAAATTAAAACATTAAAAGAAAAAATCTCCTTTTAGTTTGTGACTAAATCAATAGACGTGTACTTTAAATGGAAGACGGCATCTTTGACACTTTGAACTGATAAAGCATGACATCAGCCCCAGAGCTGCAAGCCTCCTCCTCCTCCAACACACAGCATCATATTAATACAAAAAGAATAAATGTGAAAAAGCACAGCGCCTAAAGGACAGACAACATGAGGTTTATGGAGGTTTCTGAAACCTAATTAAACATTGAATGTTAACACAGTTTCAACAGTCACAAATACAGAAGGAAGTGACAGTGAACAAATAACGACCCACTGTTCTAGGACAGACCCTCCCTACTCCGTGCAAGCTAAGGCGCTTCACTTCCTGTTGGCTACAAATCTTCACGTCAAACACGCCCAGATTTAGATGGATGCTTGTGGTTTACAAAATATGTCTAAATTTTCCCCGAAGGTCAGGTGCTATAGAGACAAAGGTTCTTTTAAGAATAACCCCAAATAGTACCAGAATGGTTAGTGTAAGTGTAATTGCTGGTCAGCTGGCTGAAAGAGGGCTATTTTCCTTGGTTAGAAGAAATTTGGACCGTTTAGAAATGTTTGCATCTAAATGAAACATTAAGTCACAGTGTCGGAGCAACAGGATTGTCACCAATCATCTATCAATGTAAAGCGTCTACTTAGGGGTCGTATGGTCGGATTTTAGGATTTGGCTTAAGTCTCACGATCAAAGTCAAGATTGAAAATGTTTATCAACAATAACATTATCATCTCATTATATCATAAGATGTACAAATTAAGCCTTTGTGGACGACAGAGATTTCCAGTTATTCCTGGAGTTTGATAACCTGCCAGTAGCCAGATTTATATACGTAGAACTGAGTGGAGTTCTATGTCATCAATCTGGGATGGCTGCCATTCAGTCTATCTGTGAAAAGGAGGGATGTTTAGTACAATACTTGGAGCTGATTGGGTGACGTGACAGCTAGTACTAGTGATGTTATGAGATGAGCCGAGGCCTCCATGCTTGTGTCAAGCAATAGAGTGGGCGTTTCGCCGAAGCGTGTGTCGAGGCGTGATTCATTTAGGGGAGGGGCCAAAATTGATGACGGCCTAGGCCACGCTACTGTGATACCAGGTGACCACTTTAGGAAGTGGTTCAGAAAGTGCAAGAACATCAACAGGCATTTAAACAGCCTCAGTATTCAGTCAAGATGTGGGAGTTTGTAGGAGAGTTACTGTCACGTGGATAGAGTTTGGATAGATTCTAAGAATATATTGGTTGTTTTTCCAACCAATCTAGTTGTTTAAAATTATTTAGGTGAGAACAAAAAAATGTAATGATCAAAATCTGAGCAAGCCACCGGACACAGTTAGGATTAAGGAGTATTTTCTCCGTTCTAATGTTATCCATATTAGTGACGCCATCTGGAAGACACAGGCTCTCGCCTTAGAGGTTGATTGTTCAAAACCTGTCTGACTTTTGAAAGTTGCGATTAAACTTAATTATTTTGGCTAATGAGACTAATTTGCATTCGTTTGCCCTAGTAATAATATAGATTGGGTAAAAACGCTGCCAAATTAGGTTGGTTTAGCCAAAAGACTGGTTGAACACAACTTCCGACTGAATAAAACCAAAAATGTAGACAAACTATTAAGTTTGAATAAATATAACTAACACCTTTCATTTTGCTCATCATTGCCCAATTTGCACAAACACATTCACTGTTTCACTTTCACTAAAATGGCAGAAAAACTGTGCACCTAAATGATTGTTCTAAGAAATTTTACACTTAAAAAAATAAAAAAAAAAAAAAAATTATTTTACACACTAACAATTTCAAAGGCACTTAAAAAGGGGAAAAACGAAAAAAGTTTGCAAAAAAAAAAATCACAGATTTTATTACCAACTGTAGTTCTGCTTTACACCAGTAGGTGGTGACATGTTCACCTGGAGCCTCATGAACTGTGGGGATTGTCGCAATTTTAGTTAAAACTGAGTTAATAGCAGTATTGAGAGACAAGTCTGATTGCAGCAGGGTTTATACAGGAATGTGTAAGTATTTTAATGGTCTTTTAATGCTCTTAGAAATATTCTTAATGCCATCAACAAGTGCTCCCTCCCTCCCTGCCATCTTTGAAAAATGAAATCATTGTGACTGAAAACTTGCATGCATGGATCGAACTGCAACTTTGGCTAGCTTTCTGTGTGGGGAAAAATCAACTTCAAGTATTTTACTGCCACTCAAACAGCTGGGGTGAAAAGTTAACGTCTTACTCTTGTTAAATAAAATTAAGTGCATCTGTGATTTGGAAATTGCGTTTTTGTTAAATTGCAATTATATTCATTGTCCAGCCTTAATTTGTTGCATTAATGTCCATGATACTAAAATATGCGACTTTGTAAAGTAGGCCAGAAATGAGTTTTATTTTCGACTAAACTGCTTGTTTTTGCATCTTAAAATGTCGGCATGATACCGAACTTCAATATTGCTCAGAACCTTTGATGAAGGAGTAACTGAATATTAAACTATCTAAACATCTGGGTCTTTCCTAGACACAAATGCACAAGTACTTCATTTGGAGCCGGTTAAGCCGGGCATAGACTACGATGTTTTCAATCGCTGCACGGAGCTACAGCTCACACTGTGCGACATAACCGCAGGGTTAACCGTAACGCAAACGTGGCTACTACGGTCTTTCACTTTTACAGAAAGAAATCCATTTCACTCGCACCCCCACCATGCTTCTGTGTTTTCATCTGAGAGGAGGAAGAAGAAGAATCCTTGTTCGCCCACTGAGCGATTTGCCCACAATGGTGGACTGAAAACCAAACATGTTTGATTTTCTCCCAACCTCACAATTCCTGATTGGGAGGTGGTTGTGAGAGGCTGATCACCCCTCATCACCCCCTGTACACTACACAACGCTCAATCAGCCTGAAAGTCGGGCCGATCAGAAAATTCTCGCACGACTGGAAAATTGCCCCGAAGGCAGCGTACTTCCAAAGAGTAAACAGCATAGTAGTGCAGAGCTTATCCACAGCAACAGAAACACAAGTCACAATAGTTATAATAATATAATAAGTTTAAACAATAATTTCCTTTAAGAACAGAGTGCACATGATCAGAGACTCCTGGGTGAGAAAACCTTTTAGAAAGAGTTTATATTATATTTTTAGAGCAAATCAAACTGTGTAGCCTAGACTGAATCCTTTACACATAATAAAAATGTTTTAAATAACACCAAGTCAAACAGGATTTACCATTCTTTTTTGAAGCCTTCTTCCAATTTGAGATCTATTTGTTTAATTTGTTTTAATAAGTGAAAGCAACAAAAATTGAGCATCTGAAAAATGTGCTGCAGCTTCCTTGATAAGACTAGTAGTTATTAATTCAATGAAAAATTTATGTATTAAAACATTTAGATTTGACCATTCAACCATTATCTTTCATCAGTTAACTTTATATTAATAACAAGAAAAAACTGAATGAGAGCAAAGCAGATTAAAGTCAAAGTGAAATAATAAAATTAGCCATCAATACATTTTCTTAATGTAAAGAAATAGAGAAACAAAAGAAAATTTGCCATAAAGAATAAGAAAGCTTTAGATGATATATGCCACCAGACTGGAATAAAATGAAGGTATTTAGTTATCATATTAAGTATTATGGTAAAGCTTATACTTACTGCAACGTCCAGCTGGTCGAGGGGAACAGCCTCCTCAGCAAGCAGCTGTACTGATGAATCAGCATTGACTGTCACTGACCCACTGCTCACTGCAAACAGACACAAAAATAGGATTTTTTTCCCCCCATAAGAATACATAAATGTATAATTCCTGATGCAGTTTACAGTTATATAGTGAAGAGACACCATGCTCTGAAAAGGTTTTTGCAATGCTCGTCATACTTCTAGATTGGCGTTATTGACAACCATCTTTCTGGAAAAGAGTAATGAACATTTCTAATGCTGAGAATCCTCCACAAGGGGAACAAAGGCAGAAAACCTGGAGGAGAGTGGAACCTTTCCAGGGATGGCAGGCCAAAAAGGGTTTTAGATTTAAGTAGATAACCTGGGTATTTAAAAAAAAGAAACAAGAAAAATATTCTGATAAAGTGTGCAGTATCAGAACGTATTTAATTGTACCAACCTTTCTTTTTATAATTCAGCATGTTCTGTTCTCAAATGAACCAGTAGAGGAAGGAGACTATTGTACTTGGCCAGAGGTAAGGGTAAAGTTTAATAAAGGAAATATTTTGTTTATCTAAAATGGTAGCTAAAGAGGATGTTTTCTTGACATCTCTGTCACTTTAGCTGGTATCACCACCTGCATCTAGCCCTCTCTCAGCAACAAGTCCTGCTTTGCGATTGGGTCTGAAATGGTCCAAAACATGTTTTCTGACAGTGATCAGATTCCCAGTTTGCCTCATATTATGTATTGTACATATAAACAGAATCTCTGAATGGTTTAATTAATCTTTGACCTTACACAATCTTCCTTTTTTAATACCTGGAGTATTGTATTTGGGGTAGCCAATGTTGTTAGTGTCAGAGGTCTGTCCAACACAGGTAAGCATGTTTTGTCATTTAATTTCTGCTAGTTTTTGCTATAAATGTTGCTGATTAACTGCTTAGTTAATGTAGATCTAAAGTTAAACAGTAGATGGCGCTGCAGAAACAGGCAAGCTTATTGGTATACTATAGCTTATTTTTGCAGTAAGACAATTCAGAGTGTTTGTAATAGTCAGAGCAAGGTGGGGGCAAATGTCTGGAATAGGAAATTGATTAATGAAACTGAATTATAAGTAACTAAATTATTAAAGTTTATGAAACTGAATTATCCAAGCAGTACTTAAATCATTCTTAAAATAAATAATTTAAGAAATATTTAACTACTAATTAATTATTTAAGTACAAAGAAATACTTTTATGAAGAAAGATTACCATTATAGAGGATACAACTTTAACTATAGTCAGACTTTAAATATGAAACACGTTAGGCTTTATGCATATAAACTGCTATGTAAGTTACTCACACTTTAATCAAATGTTATACTTTTCCAAAATATGCAACCCTAAAATATAAAGGCGCATAATTCAGCTGACAGTTCTTGTGTCATACAGCAGTTTAAGATCTTACCAAAGTATTTGGTAGAGGAGCCGTCATCATTAAACACGGTGACGACACCGGGCCTGAGCACCTGCAGGGTGGGTACATGGGCCGGGAGGATACCAAACGCACCGGTGAGTGTGGGGACATCGACCTGTTTAACACTGGCCTCTTTGAAGAACACCTGGGGAAAAAAAACCAAAAAACATAGACAACATACAGTTATTTACATTTCTTTGTTTCTAGCATTTATCATTACTGTATTGGCAACTCTAGTTCAAGATTGTAGGATTTTACACTATTATTCTTTAGAACACCAGTGTTTCCCAACCTTTTTTGACTTGTGTGCCCCTTTGGGCATTTTGTCTTACCATGCAAGTACCCCCTCAGTCAAAAGTATCTATGATCCTCCCAAAGTGGAACATACAATAAATTATTATAAAATAAAGACTATTTTACAAAATATTTTAACCTGAGCATTTAATTCTTAGTCATTTTATTCTTTCCATTTCAAATTTAAAAAAAACATCATAAGCCTGGCAGTTAGTAAGAAATCGAAATAAATACATATATTATAAATCTGTATTCTTAAAGCTGGCGCTCCTCTGAGTAACTTTCTTATAATTACATTAAAACTGGATGAATTGGGAACAAAATACAAAACAAAAATATAGTTAGGGATTTTTACTTTGTTTTCATCAAGACACCTGAGCTGCCCTGATAGCTCAGTGTGGAAAACAGCTGATACCAGGCTGTTCTCTACATCCAGTCTCTTCCTCTGCTTGGTTTTGATGTGTCACAGCTGAAGGTGAACTCGAACTTATAACAAAAACATACTTTTTGGTTGATAAAAGCTTGTTTAATTTTTCAATTGGATCCTAACAATGCAGAACAGATCGCAGCCCTATTGTATTTTACTACCCAAGAAAAACAATATTTTTATGTACCGCCTGAAATGCACTCGCGGACCACTAGGGGTATGCGTACCACTGGTTGGGAATCACTCCTGTACACCATCTCTAAAACATTGTCAAGATATTTGACCCTTACTCTGCCTGCCATGCTTACCCTTTGTTGGCCATTTTCTGTTTTGGTTTAACACAAAGCAAAATATGACGACAAAGTTGCTAGATTGGCAACTATGGACGTTTAGTTCATCCTTCACTACCGAAAGCAGTGCAGCATACTGCTGTCACACGTGGCTGCTCTTCACTCAGAGGAAAAAGGTGCTTAGTGCCGAACAGGGGTGCATATTGTAAATGCAGTTTAATATAATACATGTATGTGAATTGTTCCATCTGGAATCAATGACAATTGTTTTAAATGGTTATTGAGTCAGATATGTGACAGGTAATGTTTAGGTTATTGAAAAGTTTTATCAGTCCAGTGCAAATGGGTTTAGCTGACATTTAAGCACAGATTCCAATATCTCTGAGGTGTGGGGACTATAAGGCTCTGTTCGAAAACCTGGGCAGCATCCTCCAAGGATGCGGTCTACCTAGACTGGATCCTTCGAAGTCCTTGAAAATAAGGAGACCGGAAGAGCTTTGGCTGTGAATCCGAACAGGTCCACCCTTCGGCGGGTTTTACTGCCGTATGCTCTGTTGCTTAGCAACCGTGAAAGTTGACACACAAAGCAGGAAAAGAATGAAAACCTAAGTTTTTAAAACTGTATTTTTATTTATTTAGTTTTATTGTAAAGTGAACAAAGACTACATTAACAAGAATCCAGAGTGGAATAAAGGTTCCAACCACTGGGAGCAGGAACAAATAAAATCAAATGTAATGATAGAAACCTTAGTCAGTTAAATAACCTGCTGCTGTCATTTTGCACATCTCTGATGTTGCTGCTATTTTCAAATATCCATTACTGTAAAAATGTCCATAGCTGCATATTGGTTATTTATTCTCTAGTTTTATATTGTTAAAGCACTTTACAGAATTATATAGTTTATATTTTAACTCTTCCCTATTATGTTATTCTTTATTCTATTGTGTGACCATTTTCAATCATCTTTCTGCTGCTGTAAATTTGCCCACTGTGGGACAATAAAGGGATTTTCTATTCTATTCTATAAAAGGGGAAGAAAGACAGAAGTAAATCTAAACAATGTATGTATAAAAAAAATATATCTGCAAAATTTCTAATATTCAACAACAAAAAATACTTAGTTAAGCATATTGTGCAAAACAGCAATAAAAAGATAAAAATCCTATCAGATTTATAGTTCCCACTGTGGCTATAATCTAAGGACAGATTCTAATATATCTGCAAACTGATTTACACAGTAACAGATAAAAACCTTTAGATAAACCAAACATTACCGCCGCATATCTGACTCAATAACCATTAAAACTACTTTTTATTCATTTCAGACGGAACTATTCACAGATTTGTATTATATTAAACTGAACTTCCAATTTTCACCACTGTTCGGCGCCAAGTAACCTTTCCTCTGATCACGGCTTGCTTGGTCTCGCAATGAATCCTGGGATATCCAAGTACAGCGAGGATACATCGGACCCGTCCTTCAAATCAGGGAAAAAAAAGGACGCATTTTAAGACCGCCTCGTCGCTATGACGTCATCAGCCTTCGAATCTGGTCTTCTAAGGACGCGTTCTAGGTTTTCGAACAGAGCATCAATCTGATATTCATGATGACGGTACTGCTGCTGAAGCTCCTCAAAAATGCAATTGTCACACAGAACAATGGTGAAAATTTCGATTTCCATTCTTTGCCTGCTTTGTGTGTCAACTGTCATTGCTGCCAGGGGACAGAGTTTATGGGTGGTGGAGGATGGAGAACCTGGACCTGTTTGAATCCATAGCCAAAACTCTTCCGGCCTCCTTATTTTCATAAACCTAGAAGGACCCAGTCCAGATAAAGATGGGTCCTTATAGAATGCAGCCTCTAAAACTGAAAGTTGTAGCATAATTTAAAAAAGGTAGAAGCAAATTATTAGCTTGCAGGTGCTTATGTTATATAGGATTCCCTCATTTTTGAAGTAAATTTCAACTTAAATCTCGATGCATTTTATTTAAGGCTGTTACTACAATGCAAATGTATTGCTCCTTTTTTCTGGGGTCGCCATTAGGGCTGAAACAATTCATCGTGATTAATCAACTATTGATATAATCGTCAACTAATTTAGAAATCGATTAATCATTAACTGGAGTATAGAGACTGTAAAACATGCCTTTAGCTGCCAGAGCAACCCATTCAGAGCAGTAATTACAACAGCATTGTAAAAAAAAAAAAAAAAAAAAATTAACATTTTGCATTTTAATATATCTTTTTTACATGTCAATATTCTCTATCCAGAGCTCCTCAAGTAAAAATTTCAGTTTAATTTAGCAATTTCGCTTCTTTATGGAACCTTTGGCTATCCGGTTATTAATCGATTAATCGAAAAAAATCAACAGTCGCTGTAGAGCAGGTTAATGGAATAAAGACTTGGCAGAGATTTAAAGCAGACTTAACACGAGGAAATCCAAACACTATCCTAAATAATTATATAAAAATGTAAGGTATCAAGCTACAGCACAGTTGGATTAATGAAATACTGCAGAATCTAGTAAAACCACAATGAAAAGGAACGTTTTAATCATATAATTTAATCATATAAATGTGGCTATTTAAAAAGTAGATTCAGATCTGTGAGGAAAAAAACTGTTTACATTTATTCCAAGGTTACAGTTTACAACTGCACAGGTTTTGCTCATTTTCAGTTTTATCAACAATCGTTACCCAAAGATCATTTAACTCCACCATCAAGTAAACATATATTAGAGCAATTGGTACCAATTAAAGACAAATGATAAAGAACTGAAGAGCCTGAATGACAGTCAGGTTAGCCATCAAAGCTAGCCCCTTCATATTATAACTTGGATTTAACTGTGCTTTTTGACAGTAACTATATACCTTGCAATTAAAACAAGCTCGCTGTATGGCTCAAATCTGCATATCAACTTAATAAATATATGTTTTATTAGAAGGTATCAATACTTTTTAATAATAAAAAAAAAAGCATAGTTAGCAGACTGGCTAAGCTAGGCCTCAAACCTCGCTACTGCTTAAAGCCAGTACCTGTGTCGGAGAGGCAAAAGTGAAGGACATTTGCGGGGCACCGGCGGCGGCCTCAGCGTAGGAGCGAGCGTGCCTCAAAGCAGGCAGAGCTCGGCGAAGAAACCTGGCTGCCATCATGTCGGGAAGTTTTTATTTTACCTAGGTACAAGTGAATGACAAAAAATCCCCGGCCGAGCGTGGAGGCAGTCGCCTTACTGGTGATGGTAGGACAAGGACGTTGGGAGTTACCCGTCAGCCTTTGCGCTTGCGCAAAGGATATTGGGTAGCGTAGTTTTATGAAAAATGTCTCCTTCTTCTTCTACTTCTTCTTCGTTAGATTGGCGGATTGCAAACCACTTATAGGTGCATACCGCCATCTACTGTACATTAGTGTGTAGCTCTATAGTTCCACCTACAAAATTCTATTTTTTATTTTTGTTTTATGTAAAAATAAAAACAATGCTTTATTAATAACCAAAATTTCCCCCCTATCTCCATCTGTCCTTAAAATTCCTTTAATACTCAATTCTCTCCCTTTTTCCATAATTACTTTCCTCCTCCTCTCTCTTTCAGTTGCATATTTAATGCAATCCATCAAAACATGATCCACATTTTTTTTTCTAACACAACTCACATAAATCATTATTTCTCTTCCCTTGTACAAACAAAAACTCATTCAAGTAGGTATGTCCAGTTCTCAATCTAGTATAAATTATCTCTTTCCTTCTGCTTCTTTCTCCACAATTTTGAACAATACCCTATATAATCTTCTTCCTCTCTCATCTTCATCCCATTTTTTGCCATACTTCTGTTTCTTTCTTTTTAATTATTGATTTACCTTTCCCTAATGGAATCTGATCTATATTCTGCTTTCCTAAAGCCTTTTTAGCTATCTTGTCTGCTATTTCATTTATATGAAAAATGTCGAAATTATGTTGCATATTATGTATTGTTTTCATATAATCTATGACTTTTTTAGGATTTCATTATTAATGTTATTACCATTATAATTGGCCTTATTGTTGTTTTTATTATTAGTTGGTGTAGTTGCATTTTTTTGTTTTACCAAAAAAAAAAAAAAAAAAAAAACACACACACACACACACACACACACATTCTGTTGAGTTCCTGGCTTTAAATTAAAATGATACATTTCTTTAATTTCAGTCTTTTAAATATTAGAATTTGCACAGAACTGAGTATTTGTCTATCTGCTCACAGAATCTTTAATTATAAAAAAAAATCATCAGGATTAAACAGAGCTCATAAAGTTAGTCACAATAAAAGCAGAGCCATAACTAGGTACACGAGAGAAACAGGACAAAAACACTAAAAACCAGGTCAAAATCTTTCATCTACAGCTGATGCCTTCCTCCAGGATGTTGTCATATCCAAACAGAACACCAAACCAGGTGTAGCCACAATAATGAAAAAAGCTGATTGAACATACGTTTAAAATTTTTATGAAGAAAATAATGCAACGTTGGAGAACAGAAGCAGAATGTAGCGAGTTAGAAAAAGTGTTCCCTATGTCTTCCAGCAGCCTAAGCATGTAGCAGCGTTAAACAGAGATATGATTATTTGCTTTGGATATTAAAGGGGCACAACATGAATAAAGTGCAGTTGTGACTTGATTGGGCTGTCCATCTACAGTGACAGCCTAAACAAAGGACCAAAATGTTTCCTTGTCTCTTTCTATCTGAAGGAAAACCTTTTCAAAAGCCACTCAGGAAAGACATGGAACAAGGTGTTTGCTCAGATCATTAACTCTTTGCCTGCATTCAAAATGCTAGGTCTCATAATCACTCTGAAAATACAATCTAAATGGCAACATACGATCGAGGCAGCATTATTCTGCAGGAACGCATACACTGAAGGCAATTCTCAGGGAAAACATGTCAGAGGCCAGAAAATATATAATTCTACCCATAAAGTAAGAATTATAGCTAGATGTAGATCGAAACAAATTTGGCTAGAAAGACCTAGTCAAAGTCCAGATGGGAACTTAGGTAGGAATTTGCAAAAATACATACAACCCAATTAAACCACCTCTAGTCTGTTTTACATACAAACTGTAATGCACATAAGCAATGCCTATTTGTCACATTTTAATGATTGTTGAATTTATAGCCCCTCATAACCAGGAGATGGCGCTAAAATCATTTGATTGTTAGTACAAAATATGGGGCCAAAAGATTCTTTATATATTTGAGAAACATGGGGTAGGAAAAAGATAAAAAAAATATTTTTTATGATAAAAAAAAAAAAACACACTCAAACAAAACATAATTTTACCTTATTGTTTCAAATAGAGCGAGAGGTTTGACTACATGTTTAAACAAAATAAAAGGAAGAAAATTAGCTACATTTGCAGCACTATAGAGGATCAAACGTGGTTTTTCGTTTAGTTTAACCACTCAGGGTTTCCCCTCGCCGTGTTCCAGCTCTGATGCGCTTGGGGATAATTTGAGAGAGCCTCCATCCTTCATCTTTACCTCACCCCCTACGTCACGTGGTGCGCCTTTGACGGGGCGGTGGGCGTGTCCTAAACGGCGGGGTTTCATTCATAAATACTTTTAGCTTTAAAGAAATATCACATTAAAGCGCTCAGAGGAGGGTTTTTGTGTCACTTCCTTCGCCCATCCACCTCCTTTATGGACCAGGCTGGTAGAGAAGGTGAGTGCTGCCACACAGGGGTGTGTGTGTGTGTGTGTGTGTGTGTGTGTGTGTGGTGGTGGTGGGGTGCATATGTGGGTGTGTGTGTGTGTGTGTGTGTGTGTGTGTGGACAGGAAGGATCGTGAACTGAGCTCCTGCCTTCGCTCAGATAAAAATCAAAGCAGCCTGTGAAATATCAAGATGATATATTTGAAACTTGCTACTTTCATACATTTTCCACTTTTCCACATCCGATTAGATTGCATCAATTAAAAAAAAAAATAATACTAATTCTGAAAAACCACAATCTGTGTTTCTCCATGGAGAAATCGTGTGTTTTTATGTCTTTTTGTCCCCTTCTAACCTAATGTTTTTACTTTATTGGAGGAATTGAGGTAATTGGCACTAAAACATGACACCAAATCTGAAGATGCGCTGTGTGATACCAGTAATACAGCTGGTAGAAATTGAGATTTTAAGCGTGATGAGATACACTACTGCTGGGACACCCGTGTCTCACCATCTGCTTTGGCATCTCATCAGCACAGCTATTTTCAGGGTTTACAACACAGATCAGCACAGAGGATCCTAATAGTTTTATAATGAACGGACTGAACTGCTCGCCTTTATTCTAAAACAGCTTTTTATTTTAAATACTATTATGTAATACAAAATGAAGTAGTTTATATTTCTTTAAATAAAGATCCTACACATATTGTACTCTGCTGTTGGAAAAACAAACTATATATTTATATATACATATATATTCCAAGGATTAAATGACCTCCTAATTTTTGTTTTTCCTTATTTTTTCTTAAAACAAAAGAAACATTTTCTTCAGGTTTTTTGATAGAGCTATTTTTAATATAAAGCTGTTCAACTATTTGTATCAAATATGCTCTAAATCTTAATCAGTATTGCTAAATTATAGAAAAGTATGTTTGAATACTTCCTATATGCGTAAGCTGATGAACTTAAAGTTGTATATACTTCGATTTAAGGCATGTGTACCATAGAAATAAAATGGGATTTTTCAGCATTTTATTTCTTCAGCATATTGGTTGACTGCAGATGCCAAAATCATAGCTACAGTGGATTAATAATAATTCTGATATCTTCTTGCCTGTTGCCAGCCATGCAACACTTTCATCCTGTTGCTCCAAGGCCAGTGGGGCAGCCCTGAAGGGGAAGCACTGCTGCTCTGGCTCGGTCGGCTGGGTGGGCTGAGGATGCAGCAAGGGAACTGAGGAGGAGAGCCCTGAGTTACAGCCTGACACACACACATACACACAAATCCAGAGCTGCTGCTGCTGCTGCGCACTGCCCTCCATAAGGGTAAGATCACTTGGCTGGCAGAAAGCAGGATGTGGTGCAGGAGAATACAGCAAAGGAAAGCATTTCTATCCCAGTTAAATGTGTTTTCCAGAAACTGTTTACTTGCTTAGCTGCTATAGATGTGTATGGAAGTCAGTTGGCTTGCAGCGGGGGAGCTAGGTAACAGATTAAAGATTGTGTAGCTGAAGTTGAGTGCTGCGGTGATTGGTTGGCAGACATGAAGAGCTGAATGCTGCTGGCATGTTGCTTTTTCCTCACTCGGTGAGTAGCTTTATTCGTGTGTGTGTGTATGTGTGGGTGTTTGATGCAGCAGCAGTCGTATTAATGGGTGTGATTTAAAAACCAAAGGCAAATAAAAGGCATTGGTGTTAATAGAGCCAATGTTCTTCTGTGTGTAAATGTATGGGGGAATTGATCCAGTTTTCAGGATGATCCAAAACTGTGTGATGATCTACAACCACAGAGTTAATGCTTTCATTTACAAACCAAAGTTGTGCATCAGGCATTTTCCCGTTTCTGTCTATTGTTGCTATGTTCATCTATTTTTCAAGGATAATTTTTTGCTTGCTGCAACACCTGGCCTTAATACCAACCAGTTACATCCTAAAGAGTGACTGAATTACATTCTGTTAGATTGTTTTGGGCTGACATGTCTGGATTTATTCCCTCAGATAAAACAGCACATTTGGTGACTGACTTGGATTTGATAAACTGCTCCAGTAACAGACACTTCCTCTGTGTATTGGTGTGTTTGTTTTTTCTCTCAGGGGGACTCTCTAGTTGGCTTGGACCATGAGCAATGAGTCTACCGTCTGGAACATCCTACCAGAAAACTCAACAGTAAGTCTGCTTTTTCACCATTGCCTTGTTCTCAAACATCCTGTTAATGTGCATACATACATACGTGTGTGTGTGTGTTGTTAGCAGATCACTACCAGAGCCATACTTTCCCCTCATATTCTCTTCTGGTCGATTGACTAGCTAATAGAGAACATCCTGACCTGGGCCTGGTATAATTAAATCTCTGATCTAATCTCAGCTTTAATTTCCCTTTGCAGAGAAATTATAGAGTGACGTCAAAGGGTTGTAGACATTAACACTTGCTATGTTATTTCTTATAGAGCTCAAAGGATTGTCTGGTATCCTGTTTATGCAGTTGCATCTCAGTTTTAATGGAAATATCATTAAAAAGTGGGATTATTCCTCTTAATCCATTGAAACTCACAATTTGTAGCACTCAAAAAGGTAGATTTCATGCTACTATTTCTCCAATTCTTATGTACTGATTATATAGATGACGAAAACCTAAAATCAATTTAGAGTATTATGTAAAATTATAAAGATGTTGATTTTCCATACAAAATGTATTTTATGGACATGTTTTTGCATAAACACGGGGAAAACTGAAGCTGGCAGTGAGTATAGTATCCAGTAATGTTAATGGAAAGAGTAATGGAAGAAAGACCACAGCCTTAATTGCTAAACTAAGCTCTTCTTTGGTTTAGTTCAAATTTATAAAGAGTGGATTTAAAGTGGAATCAGCTTAATAAGCCAAATCAGCTGAATCAACTTTTGAATTCCCTAATTGTGATTAATGTCAGAAGCCCCTTGCCTTGGCTAAAATTGAACCATGGAGTGTTGTTCATAGGTCTTAAGTCCAATTTATAGATCACAGGAAATTCAACATTTTAGTCTGAGAGTCTGGAAGAAGAGTGGAGAACCATTGGTTCAAATTAGCTTGTTAAATTTCAGTGCACTTCATGCTGGGGATGAGCCTCATGCTGATTTAAATTTCTACCAGGACTTGGGCAGCTTTCTATGTTGCCAAAAGTTCACCTTATTTGATGACCATATTATCACTGACCTAAGCTACATTTCAGTGTGAATCTGTTGGGGTACCGTCAAGCCGGATATTATACACACCAAACACGACACGTTAAATGAGCTGTAAGCTGCCACCAATGCAATATGGTATTTTCCAGCCTCCAGCAGAGCCCCAGTCTGATCCCTACCATGCTGCGCTGCATTGATGCAGCAATTCATGTAAACAGAGTCCTGAATCAGTAGTGCTGAGACTATAGTTCCTACATTTCTGCAAATATATTTTCAATACAAATATAAATATACAAATATATTTTCTTGATTATTTTTTTAAACATTTTAATTTAGTCAGAAACAGATTTTTTGTTTTAATCAGCTGGAAGCCATATTGATATTGTCTTCTTTTAATCATTTAAGTAGCAACCTGCTACTTATATGGTCACTTTAGCTTTCTGAAGCCACAGGAACCACAATAATAATTATTAAATGTATTAAATTATGAAGGTAATTTATTTTTATTTATTTTTTCATACAAATCATGTTTGTTTTTGTTTTTTTTAAAGTACACTTTTTAAAATAATCTGGATTTTTATTTTCTCTAATCCACTCCTTAGACTTCCTTTGTTCAATACTTTTTTTTTTTCCTGAGATGTGTGCTTATAACTAATAAACTAACTATCTTTGTTACACCACTAGCTGGAAACATTCTCTAATTGTATGTTGTAAATAATGATTATTTTATAACAATATTTCACATCCTGATTGAGGTCACCACCAACAACGGATGACTGAAAACAAATGTAGTTTTTGAAAGCAATATATGTAATTTTATTTTTCTAGATAAAACTTTTCATGAGAAAAACAGGGATCCATTGGATTTGGTATGAAAAAATGAGAGACTGAATATTTAAGCTATAATACCCAGTATTAGTTCTTATCTTGGTAAAACCTTGTATCCATGCATCGCTTTATCATTGCTTTATACATTTCTTTTATTTGCTAATTACAGAACTAGTGTAAAAACAGATAATACAAAAAAAGAATTTGGTGGTGTCTCGATGAAATGATGGGCTCATTTGGATATGTACATTAAATTATTCACTGTACTGATGAAAATGACTTAGAAAATAACAATTTCAAGATTAAACTGGAATTATTATGCCCTGCTTGTAAAATGTCCTGATAAGTGTGTGTGAGAATTCCTTTGCTAAGGGAATTGATAGTACCATTTACCTGTGCTGTTTGTGTGTGGATAACCCCCTCAGCTGTTTTTCTTCCTGAGAGAGTTTCCCCATCACTAAGGTTCACCTTTGACATATGAATAGTTCCTGGAGATCATTGATTAGTCAGACAGCTCTACATATAGATTCGGTTTAGGCGAGCCAACCAACCAGAGGGCTTGAATCAATCTTTTACACTGCATGGTGTCGCTGTGAAGGGGAAGCAGCCTTATTTAGGCTCTATTGTTGAAGCTGGTCACGATGCAAAGGAAATGATTTTGAACAATTTGAGCAGAAAATACAAGCATTAGATTCCATTTTTTTCCACCTTCCAGCTTGCTTTGCAGCAAACAGCCAGGATTGATTATAATGCGACTGAGATAAAAGATTGAAATAAAGTTTGAATTCAGTAAAGTGCAAGAACACAAGTTAGGTTCTTCCAGAAAATGTCCTCAATGTTAACTTGTGGATACAGAAAATCGGAATTGCCACTGCTTTCCACATAGGTCTGATCCAGTGCAGCTATTACAGATCATATATGTCTGCTGTAAAGGAACTGAATCTTAAAGTTTTGCTCTAGCACAGACTCTCTCACCTTGTCATGTTCTAAGATGCTGCAAAATGTTTTTTTTTTTTTAATCAGAGCAGGTAGCACAAACATTGCAGTGTATTCTCATTATCAGTTTGTATGAAATCGTACGAAAAGTTATGCACAGTAATTTCGTACGTTTTTGAAGTTTTTTTCATGGTATTTCGTCTTATTTTTACGTCTTGCCTCGAGAGAAGATATCCTTGCGCATGCGCATCTTACGCACCATTCAATAACATAGAATTTAACATACAATTAACCCTAACCCTAAGATACAAAACAGCAAGCAATGTAGTTAGAGACATCAGAATCAGATCAGAATCAGAATCAGAAATACTTTAATAATCCCAGAGGGAAATTACTTTTGTTACACGCTCTAGTTACAGTTTTACATGATATATACACACATCCAACAAGAAGTAATTATTGTTTTACGTCTGTCTGCGGATCTGCTTTTTTCATCTGTCTGGCTGCGCATGCGCACTGATCTGTTTTTTCGAGGAAAATACTGTGCATAACTTTTCGTACGATTTCATACGAACTGATAATGAGAATATGTTGAACATTGTGACTTTTTGTCGCGTGTAGCTCACAGTGACAGGTTTGCACAACTGTTACTCAAAACTAAATGCTGGTAAAGATTCTCAGTTATCCAGGTCATAGTCAATCCATCCATCCATCCATCCATCCATCCATCCATCCATCCATCCATCCATCCATCCATCCATCCATCCATCCATCCATCCATCCATCCATCCATCCATCCATCCATCCATCCATCCATCCATCTTCTTCCTCTTATCCGGGGTCGGGTCGCGGGGCAGCAGCTGCAGCAGGGGGCCCAGATGTCCCTCTCCCCAGCCACTTCGGCCAGCTCCTCCAGGGGAATCCCAAGGCCCTCCCAGGCCAGCCAAGAAACATAGTCCCTCCAGCGTGTCCTGGGTCTCCCCCTGGGCCTCTTCCTGGTGGGACGTGCCTGGAACACCTCACCAGGGAGACGTCCAGCAGGCATCCTAACAAGATGCCCAAGCCACCTGAACTAGCTCTTCTCGATGTCGAGGTGCAGCGGCTCTACTCTGAGTCCTCCCGGATGACTGAGCTCCTCAGCCTATCTCTAAGGGAGAGCCAAGACACACTACAAAGAAAACTCATTTCAGCCGCTTGTATCCGGGATCTTGTTCTTTTGGTCTTGACCCAAAACTCATGACTATAGATGAGGGTAGGAACGTAGATCAACCAGTAAATCACGAGCTTTGCTTTTTGGCTCAGCTCTCCCTTCACCACAACAGACCGGTATAGTGCACGCCTCACAGCAGACGCTGCACCAATCTGCCTATCGATCTCCTGCTCCATTTCCCCCTCATTCGTGAACAAGACCCAAGATAATTAAACTCCTCCACTAGAGCAGTACATCCTCCTAAACCCAGAGAATGCACTCTCCCTTTTCCGGCTCAAGACCATGGTCTCAGATTTGGAGGCACTGATCCTCATCCAGGCCGATTCACACTCTGCTGTGGACCGCTTCAGTGAAAGCTGTAGATCACGCCCTGATGAAGCCAATAGAACCCAATCATCTGCGAACAGAATAGATCCCCTCAAAACCTTGGCTGCGCCTAGAAATTCTATCCATAAAAGTTATGAATGGGTGACAAAGGGCAACCTTGGCGGAGTCCAATCCTCACCGGAAACCAGTCCGACTTACTGCCGGCAATGCTGACCAGGCTCTGACACCGGTCGTAGAGAGACCTAATAGCCCTTATTAAAGTGCATAGTACTCCATTCTCCCAGAGTAACCCCCCACAGGTCATAGTCATGAAAAAAAAGATTAAAAACAAACCACTGGATGCAGCATTAGAGTTGAATCCTTCCCACTATCACCTCAATCCTTATCGCCATGCAGGTGCTCAAAAACATCACTCCTGTAAGCCAGGCCAACAACAACCCTCACAACTCCTCATTACGGAGGCATCGGCCAGTTTCAGCTTGACTTGCAAGCCAACACCGTCCTTAACGACTCGCCACTACAAAGGGGTGGACCTGTTTATGATTCAATTTGCATTTTTCTAAACCCTAACAAGGCTCAATGCTACTCTGCGCTACTCTAGACATTTTGAATTGAGAAAGCTTTCTGAATGGGAAGCGAAACGTCTTCAAACTTGGAAAACAAAGTCCAGTGGTTTGTTTTTAACTTTTTTTTTTGGATTTCAAAGCTAAGCCTTTTTCTATAAGGGGTTGAACTGACTAATGATAAAGACTTGTTTCTTTTCCAAATCTCGGCACTCCTTTCATCTTTACTCCCAGTCTTGCGAGCCAGGACATTTACAATTTCAAACAATGAACCTGAGGTGGAGAAACTAGGTTTGTTGACTGATACCAAGTTTAGGCCAGTGGGGGTACTTTACTAGCCTGACATAGTCCTACTCAATTCCAGTCAGAATATGAGTCTGATACTGCTCCATAGAGCTGTGATTATGGGGCATGTTTCGAACGAACCAGGAAAAAAAATGCCTCTGCACTCAATTGGATAGACCTGCAACCAATAAGAGCAACGGAATGCGTGACGTATGTTAAGTGACGCATAGTTGTTGTCAACAAAACTCAAAGCGTGTAGTTTCATGCCTATAATAAGAAGATGAGCCTTGATCGCGTTTCTCTGTTCCTCTTTTAAAATTAATTTTCTGTCGATATCTTCTAGAACAGACCTAATAGCAGAATCTACTCACCTCAACTCTCCGGCGGCAGCCATTGTTGTTGTCACCCAAGCGCGCTTTGGTCATGTGGTTGATTACGGTACTGTTGATCATCTGTCCATCGTCGTATAAAGCCCGTCCTGATAATTTGATTGGCCCGCCAGATATTGTGCTAGCATACTCGCACTACTGTTGAGCAATGCCAGACCGAACTTCCCGACCTCAAACATTGTGGGCGGGACTAAGTTCGGAATGGCACCCAGGCTAGTACTTTACCAAATGATGAAACATGTTATTCAAATAGAGATTGAAAATACAGAATAAAAATAAACAAGTTATTCATGTAAAACCCGGTGATGTGATTTATCTTTGATGTTGTGGGGGGGGTTTCTATTAAACGGATCAGATTTCTAAGGGATCATAACCCTCCTAACCCCACAAAACGTTTGCTCTTGCCTGAAGTTATAGAGTTGAAGCTACAGATCCCAAAATAAGTCAAGAGGAGCAGCCTGTTTCCTACTATCATCCAGGTTGGTTAACATTGGTTAGTATTAGTGCTGCGCTGATGCCATTTTTTGGCCCCGATACCGATACCTGGCTGTACAGCATCGGCTGATACCGATACCATAATGGTACCATCTGTTTAAAATTGATGTGTGTGTGTATATATATGAAGAGCTGCATACTTCTTGGATGTAAAATAATTGCCATCATGGCTTTGTCAAGCAGAAATGACTAATACAAAGTGAATCCAGCAGAACTTTTTATAGACTACCTGGAATGGGTGACAAAAGTTGAATAAACGTTTGGCTCTTAAAATGGTATCGGTTCCCTATTTGTTGGTACTCGCCGATACCACCATTTTAGTGCAGTGTCTGGGCCCTGCCTGATACTGGTAACGGTATCAGTGCAACACTAGTTAATATAGATAGTCAGTGCCTTGAAGAAACAAGATCCTAGGTTTGAATCACAGCCTGGTGTCTCTCTGTATGCATGGATCACTCTGGGTACTCCAGCCAGTGCCCCCCTGCACTCCAGAAATATATTTATATTAAGATGATTGGTCTCTCTGAATTTCCTTTATTAGAAAGTGTGCAATTGCACGATTATATAAAATTAGCTATATGAAATCTACTGTAACATGATAGATACAGTTCAAAACAGCATCCTTTTTAAAACGACACAAATTGTTTTTCAAAGTTTAACATTGAATTTTGGTGGGTTCAAAGTTTAACATTGAATTTTGGTGGGTTCAGAAATCCAAGAAGTTAGGCCCTTACTAACCGCATTAATGCAGTAGTAAACAAAAACATCAAGTTTCCCAGAGAGAATATCAAGAAAAACCTTTTGGCATTTCTACACTGCTGTGCTCATTGAGGACGATTGTAGTCTCAGCATTGAGGTCTACTGGAAACGTACATACACAGATTTACAGCACTCACTGGAAAGAAGCACAAACTTTTTCCAGAACTGTAAGTTATCAGGCGGATAGCAGCCCCCCAATTACCAAGAGCTAGCAGCTCAGAGGAAGATTCAGCGGTACACTTGCACCTCAAGAGCAAAGGAAACACCTTTGACTAATATGATGTTCAGATCTTGGACAAAGAGGATAGATATTTTGGAGAAGGGGTAAAGGGAGTCCACAAGGGGTTCCCTGAAGAACTGGTCTCTGCCGCTGTTATAGCCCCTGTACTGAAGATATAAGACTAAATTAATTGTTTGTGATGATATATACAGACGGAAGAGTCCGTAACTTACTGGTTCTTTGAACTATGTGAATATTTTACATCAAGTGTTGCTTTAATAGTTATCTAGAACTATTAGAAGTGTCACTTTCAGCTTCGGGTGCATTACTTGTCACGTCACAGAACAGATGAGTGAGATAATTCAAAGCATTTATTTAAAAACAAGCGGGCTGTGGATCTGCTGTGGAGTCCCAGCCAGGTCAGGGAAACAGATCAGAACAGGAGCTGGCTTATTCAGGGCTCCAGGAGTCCACAGGCAGCTCAGGCAGAACGCTCAGATGGGAACAGGCAGGTTCAGCAGTTGGGAGACAAAACAGCTCAGAATCAGGATACATTTTTAGACACTGGCCCCTGAGAACAAGGTAATCTGACCAAGATAGCTGGATGCAAGTACTTTAAATAGAGGCAGGAGCAGGTGGATCAGATGAGCTGTAATGAGCAACCGGGCAGAGTTAGAAAGGTGAATGGAGAGAGCAATTAGACCAGCCATAAGCACCAAGATCATGACATTACTATAGGATCCCAATATTCATCTGCTAGATCAGGCTAGATCTGCAACATTGGCTTTGTGGTCTACTGGATATATTAAACAGTTTGCTATTGTCCGCTTTTTTTTCTTTTATTCTTTTGCTATGCACTCTTGTGATAAAAACACTGATCCTTCCCAGACTCCCCTTGTAGAACCACCTGTAGAACCACCACTAAGGAATTCATCTGTGTCAAAAAAGGAGCCATCCCTCAACAGATTGGGAGGTTTACAGTTTCATCTCCCAATAATATGAAACCCTGTCTTTGCAGTTATTGCAAAGACATTTCAAAAGCAGTCTCATCATGATTCAGAATGCCAAGTACACAACTCTTGCAAAATAGGCTTTAAAGAGGAGAACAATGGGTGGCTCACTTCAGGAGCTGATTTTCACAGTGTTACACAAATCAAGCTCCAGGCTTTCCTAGTGATTTCTTGGGTGCCGAATGAGATATTTTTTCCACCATGTGCACCATCAATGTTATAAATAGTGGAAATTGCAAGCAGAAGAGCCCCTTTAACATTTTATCTGTCTAATCGCTGGGAACAATCTGTTTACAGAACTTAGAGAGCAGAGCATAAAAAATGGCCCAACAGTCCTGAAGCAATAGTAAGCCACAAAGAGCAAGTCGAAAACTGGGATTTACACACTTACCGTACACTAACTGCAAGGATTCACAAGTTGCAATATTTCCCAAAACAAAGAATCTTAAACAGATGCAGAGAATATTATGTAACTGATTAAACATTGTATAATTTTATTTATTTATTTTTGTCTTTCTGTCCATTAACCTTAGGGGATCCAACATGAAGCTAAGGAGCAGCAGGATGGCTATGTGCTTCTCCTGGTGATCCTTTCCATCTTTCTGGTAGGAACGCTGATCAGCATCTCAGTCTTTCTCATCTTTTGCCGTCGCTGTTGTCGAGGAGAGCAGCTCTGTGCCAGGTATGGTATAAAAAGATCTTTTAGACCCACTGTACTTACTGTAGATCTTTTACTTATTTATTCATTTATTTATTCATCTATTTATTTATTAATTTATGTTTTGCTCTACAGTTATCCACACAAAAGTCCTCACGTCTGGACTTGAATGAACCTTGAGACGACATGAGACCAATAGATATAACGGATACAATCAGAGGCTGTAATAAAAGCAGCAGCTGTATAATCTAATAACGAGAGCAAAGTAATAGATAATAACCTCATAAAGCCCCTCCATGCTCGCTTTTCATTGACTTGAGTGAGTTTCAGCAGGTCTGATTAAAGTCTACTGCTGATGTTGGGGCTGTAAAAGAGGGTTTTTGTACTGATTTTCACTATGATATTTGAAGTTCTTGTTATATCACTCACCGATCAACCTCCCACAACCTCCTAGTATACAGACCAGAGCATAAAACTCTCTAAAACTCAATTCGAAGCCACGGATACAGTTGCTAAACTTGGATCTGACAACTCTTCAGGAAGAATCAGATTAATCTAACAAATATAATTATAGAAATATTATAAGTTATGATTATATAGCACTTTTAAGTGAAAGAAGCAACAAATTAACACACCTTTTCTATTGTTAAGCTCATTTTGAAATAAAAGTGTCTTAGTGTGATTTTCCATCTTTAATCTGACATAAACCCTGTCCGATAAAAAAAATAAAAAATACTAGCAATCTTTTAGTTTCAACCTCAATGTATTTCGATTCTGAGTATAATTTATTCATAGATAGTTCCTGTTTGCATTCCTACAGAAAGAGATGGCAACAGATTGAAAGTGTCCAAATGCACCAAAACTAGACAAGAATGGAACTGGTCAGGAAACTTGAATGTAATTGTGGCCACAACCTCCTGTTTTTTATTTTGTTTTGTTTTTTAGCAATGTATTACGAAGTAGGATTTAATAATAATAAGGATCCATTACAGTTATAAGTGGAAGAGCATACAGAGATCACACAAATTAGATATTTATTACATTAAATACATTAAAACGGAATGAATTGACAGAGTATAATATTTTTAAATTCATGTATAAGGCACTTATAGAATAGCAATGATGAAAATATTTATTTCTATTAAAGGTGTTGATTTGTGGAATAAGCTTGTCAGTGAGTTAAAAAAAGCTGAAGCTTATTCTGTGTTTAATAGAAAGTTCAAGGTCATTTTGATGAGGCGATATGACGGTGCAAAAGCTGATGAATAGCTTTTATTCATTTTTGTTAGTTTGTTTTCTGTGTATGGGTAAACATGGTGTGTTTTTTTTATTATTTTGGTAATATTTCCAATGATCTAAGTTTAATAAATAACACTTTGTTGAAAATGTGGGCAGATAATCTAAGTTTCTACTTATTTATGCTGCTTTTCAATCATAGTTTCAGTTGTCACCTGCACAGGTCTTGTTATTACGGTGGCCCTGAAGTGCAAACTGCAACTACAAATCTAAAAGCACAACTACATTAAGGAAATCGCAACTACATAAAGCAAAGAGCAACTACATTAAGAAAAACAAAACTACATAAAGCAAAGCGCAACTACATTAAGGAAAACACAATTACATTAACCTACCGGAAAAGGTAGGTACCAGTGGGAAACGTGAGACATCGCTGATTGGACGACGGCGCCGTTTGACCCTTGAACCGGACGTTGCGTCGTCTGAACAGTCCAGCTTCTTTTAAGTGTTTCTTCAGTCTACGCAAACTAACTGAAATTTCGTGATTAGTCTTGAGCATATCCAGTATTACCTCGTACGTATGTCCTGATTTAAAATATTCCTGGATAACGGCAGCTATGTTTTGGGCGGCGACAATATCCATGTTTTCAAAAGCCGCAGCAGGCAGAATGACTTCCGGTTCAAGGGTCAAACGGCGCCGTCGTCCAATCAGCGATGTCTCATGTTTCCCACTGGTACCTACCTTTTCCTGTAGGTTAATGTAATTGTGTTTTTCTTAATGTAGTTGCGTTTTGCTTTATGTAGTTTTGTTTTTCTTAATGTAGTTGCGCTTTGCTTTATGTAGTTTTGTTTTTCTTAATGTAGTTGCGTTTTGCTTTATGTAGTTTTGTTTTTCTTAATGTAGTTGCGTTTTGCTTTATGTAGTTTTGTTTTTCTTAATGTAGTTGCGCTTTGCTTTATGTAGTTTTGTTTTTCTTAATGTAGTTGCGTTTTGCTTTATGTAGTTTTGTTTTTCTTAATGTAGTTGAGCTTTGCTTTATGTAGTTTTGTTTTTCTTAATGTAGTTGTGCTTTGCTTTATGTAGTTTTGTTTTTCTTAATGTAGTTGCGCTTTGCTTTATGTAGTTGCGATTTCCTTAATGTAGTTGCGCTTTTAGATTTGTAGTTGCAGTTTGCACTTCAGGGCCACCGTATGTTATGTTGTTTTCTTTTAATTAAATAAATAGAATATAAATAATCATAATAGAATCCTGAAGAACGGTCTGATAAAACCAAAATCATATTTTGTCCAATTCCAAAACATGGGTTTGAGAGGAAAAACAGCATTGTGTTTTTCAGAGCACCATAAAACTGTGGGGAGTGAATTTGGTAATTTCATGGTCTGGTATTATTTTTCGCTCTGATGGAACTAGGGGTTTTGTCATGTCATGTAGGTGTCTGTTTAAAAGTTAAATATGGAGAGTGATTCATTATCAACAATAACAAATATTTGGAGCTTTGCCATTAACTTCAGAATAAAATCTGACAGAAGACCTCCAAGTTCCCCTGAGAAGGAAAAAAAGATTTCCTCACAGTCAGATATATAAGGGATATATTTGCAAACTAAATTAGGAAAATATTGATGCCAACAAACACTGAATACTGAATCTGAATGAACAAATGCTGGAGCAATGTCTCTGTTTCATAGTGTTAATGCAACCAAGTTATTGCAAAATGTGCTTTTTCATTTTTTGTACAGAATAGTAAGTACATTCAATATGGAAAAGGCAGTCATTCTTTTTAATCAGGGATGTGTAAACCGTTGTTTATGTAGGGTATAAAAAAAAAAAAAACCTTAACAATTAGGCTCTCAGAAGGCTGAACTGTTATTGTTTGCAGGAACAAAGTGCCAGCCTACAGAGACGTGTAAGCATGTTAAAGCATGACAGCACAGCGTGCTCGCTCATTTTACATGGCTGCTGCTTAAATGTCAGGACCTCCTGCTGTGCTGTTATGAAAACACCTTGTTGGAGGCACTTTCAGTATCCACGGCTATTTATCCGCGAACGTCTGTGTTTATTCAAAGCAAAAATGCCTGACCCCACCCCCACCTTTCCCTATTCGCCCCTCACATTTCTGTGTCTCTGTCCAATAGCAACACATGCACCCCCACGTACACTTGAACAGGCGAGAGCTCTAGGTGCAGATAAACAGCGAGCACACAAGCTCAGGCGTGAAAACGAGAACCGGGCTGACTGGTACAAATGATGAGGGTAATGAGATTTCATAGCAGCCATCGGTGGTGATTAATGTTGCGTCTCAACCCAGCACTGTGCAGAGACTTCGCACACACAAGCGCAGTCACCAAATCACACTTGTATGGCAAAGCAGAAGCCACAGAGGAAATGAAAGACAAGGAAAAGCACAGATCTGGGTGGATGGAGATGTCCCTCTAGTCACTTCACACCCACACAAGCACATGCATGCAGTTCTCAGCCCTGTAGAATGAAATCAGATGGAGGAAAAGGCCCAGGGATAGCTTTCAGCTTTTTTTTTTCTTATCTCATCAAGCAAATAGTCTGCTTGGGATTTAAGAGGCACTATAGAGGATCAGCAGCTAATAATGATGGTAAAACAGGGAGTTTTAAGAAAATATCCCACATGTGTAATAAACTTGTTGAGAAAGAATGTTGAGCAACCAGTGAGTAGGTGTAGAAGCTCTATCATATTAGTATAAATCTTTCATTGCCTGTTTTACCAGCAACTTAGAAAGTTGGTCTAAAATCTGTTAAGGCACAAGTAAGACTCCTGTCCTTGAAGGATCATCCTGTATCACAGTATTGAGATTTTCCTAACGCATGCATTTTTGCATTGACGGATTTTACAAGATTGAGTGGTACAAAGTAGTTGATAACTGTAAGTAAAATTAATATAATATTGCATTTCTTTTTTAGATATACTTTTTTTTTATAGCATGCATTTGGATTGATCACCCTTTTATCAGGTAAAAGGTGCATCATGCTTTGGAAATCTGCTTTACAACATGGATAGAAATTAGAAAATGAACAAAGAAGCATCCTCCATAGGGAGGGATGCTACATGCTAAATAAAATGTACGCCTGTGATGGACCTTCTCCACCCAGGAGACTAAATTTGACACTAAACAGCTGTATTTTGAACATTTGGAACCGTGCATTACGTTACGATGGCACATTTGAAAGGCTAAGGCAAGACATTTGTACACTTTATTCAATTATAGCTCTTGGGCAAAAAATATTTTTGCAGAGAAAGATTGAGATGTGGTATTGACTCAGTAGGAGCTAAACAGAAAAACATTGCCATACATTTTAATTTATGCAACACAGCATTAATATTTTACAGAAAATCACAACTTAATACATTTAGTATTATGACCATAATGCAAAAAATTATGAAATTTTTTTAAAAGTTTTTTTAAGTTTTAAAGTTTTTAAAGGTCCTATACATTCACTGCTGCAATCATTTATACACCAAACAATCTTAGATATTCACTGTCTAGGTGCTGATGTCTGCTCCTAAATCATCTTCTTTTATTCATTATGAGGCAACAGTTTAACCTGATCGCATTCATTGTTAACCAAAAGCAACACTACACGTTGATGACCGCCTGTATAAAAAGGAGGGTCCATCTTGGTGTCTTGATCGTTCGAATATTTGTGGGTAACCACGTCACAGCAGTAATGCAATTCTCTTTCTTCCCAGGGCCAGCGATGACCCCGAGAAAACTGCCACTGATATGGAGGGGTCTCAGCCCACCAATGGTAAGAAGGGCATGGAGAAAGATAAAAGAACACATACCAAAGGGAGGGACGTAATCGACAGGGATTTTTGTGTTAACACATAATCCTCAGAGGTGGAAAATCTACATTTCTTAGTAAATAGTGTGGCCTTATACCACCTGACTTAATGTAACTTCACATGTTTGCTTTTAATCATAATGTCCCTACGTCTACTGAGTACATTTGAGCAGGAAATCTAATAACACCTTTGTACATAAATGGTTAAAGTAATCTTTAATTTGACTAAAGTCTTACTTCTGACTCTAAGTATTATTTATCAGAGTCCTGACTTCGACCTGATCATTTGTGGAGGGATCAAAGAAACCTGCTCAGAAATTTTGAGTGATTTAACATTGTTATTGGTTAAAAACCAATAAAGATTTATCAATAATGGTGCAGAGGATTTTTGACGTGCCATTTTAACAAAAATATGAACAAAACAGATTAAATACTTACTTACAGTGTTATAATATATTTTAAGAGATTCTTGCATCATATTGCTTTCAGTTTCTATTGATGCATAAAGATGTGATTGCATGGCCCAGTTCTCTTTTTTCTTTCAGCTAGTGACCACCTTGCTGGGTAGTGCCCCTTGTTCTTTCATCTGTGTAACTATTTATTAAAAATCCATCCATTTCTTTTTCTGTTATGATACTTATACCTTGGCTTAGTGTATCGTCCAATGCTTGATACCAATCCGATTTGATTGTTAAACGAATGAACTATGCATTTTACCATGCGAATGAAGGCTTTAGCCTTGACATAAACATTGTTAGAATAAGCTAACATATGAACATAGATATAAATGTATTTTATATTATTTCCCAACAAATAAACAGCAAAAAAAATTAAATAATTAACATTTCCATGTAAAGTGCACTGGATTGGATGTCCTATATCAAATCACCGATATCCGATCCAGGTATCAGATCAGTGCATCTCTACATTTTATTTATTACCACCCTGCTTATTCAGGCTGGTAGAAAGGAGTTGCTTCTGCCCTGCAAACACAAACATAAACATCAGGGTGGACCTTGCATAGTGGTAGAGAGGTAGCCTGGTCACACAGACTTACTTACACGTCTGGACTCAGTCTGGAGCGGCTCAATACTCTGGTTTGAAGCAAACCTGACCAATCAGGGCGTGGGAGGCGGACCCATGATTGCAACAGCATTTTTCTGTATCCATAATATTCAGGACTGCAGCTGCAATGGATCGATGTTTTATTGATGCTCTTTATTATGTCCCAAAAGAGCTATTTAAATGGCTGAAATTCAAAAACTAGTTGCTGTTTTTGCATCACATCTGTAGACATCTATTATATTCAATTCTATTAAGTTTATTTATATAGCACCAATTCACAACACGTCATCTCAAGGCCCTTTACAGTTCACCAGATCATACAGTCAGATTGATTCAAAGTTTTCTATCTAAGGAAAACCAGTTTATTGCATCGAGTCATTGACTCTAAAGCAATCCCTCACACTATGCATGCTTGTAGCGACAGTGGAGAGGAAAAACTTAATTTTAACAGTAAGAAACATCCAGCAGAACCAGGCTCAGTGTGAGCGGCCATCTGCTGAGGCCGACTGGGGTTCAAGGAGACATAAGCAGACATACAGAAAGAAGCAGAGATACAAAAGGCAACTGTCAACCAGTTCGACAGGCGGCCCCATCCAGGAAACACACAGGCAGGCAGACAAGCTCCAAGCCAGCTCCCATGTAAGAGGATGAAGAGAGAACATCCAGCTAGTCCCAGTCAGAAACAGGACTACACTGAAAAACAGGCTGATCTGACATCTGATTGGTTCTTACTGTTTCTGCTGACTTTTCTTTGAAATTGGGCTCTAACCATTAATTTCCACACCAATATGCCATGCACACAGCGAAAATTAGTCTGGCTTGCCAGGTTAGTAGAGAGGTGCCTAATATAGAGCCAATTAGACCACCGCAGGAAGTCATTTTGATCAAGGGGTGCTGTGAAATCTTTTTTAGTTTTTTTTTTTAGACAAAATAGCAATCCACCTAGAGGCATATTTTAAATAAAAAATAGAAAAATAGATGTATATTCAATACTTTATTGTCAGTACCCTTCAGTGCAAGTAACCACGTACTGTAACACGCAGACATTAATCATATTAACCATTAATCAGTTCTCAGGTTAATATGTGCGCTATTAATTAAACTTCACAATAAAACATTTTCAGTGGCTTTAATTTGAAAAGCCGGCATTCATGAAGTGGTTGTCTCTCTTAAATTTGTCTCTAGGTATGACTTTTTTTCTGACTGCTTTCAGACAAATGAAACACAAAATATGATCAGTCTCTTTTACATAATGCAGCCATCTAGCAAACCAAGCCGCCGCCATAGAACGTGAGAAAGTTTTATTACCACAATGCTGTGCAGGAAATTTGAAACTGGATGTTGGCTGGAAGGGCTTATCTAATCCAATCATGCTAGGTTGGGTTGCGGGTGCTGGGGCTGGGCCTGCCGATGCAGCTGCCATCAGAGAATCGGGCATACAGTCTCCTCACTCCTGCTTCTCTCCGTTGTCGTGGTTGCGGTACCAGTGTTCTTCTTCACTGGGTTGGTTTTTTAAAAAAATCCAAAATGCGTTTCTGTGCCATATTTCGAATATGTAAATTTATGTAAACTTACTAGTCTGCTGCTATGTAAATATGTAAATGTACTAGTCTGGTGCCGTGATGGGGATATTTCTTTACTCTTCGACCACTAGCTTGTTTGACAACGTAACATCCGCGAACTTGTGTTGATTAGGCCTTAAAATTATTAAATTAAAATCCAAATCCATATAAAAAAAAAGTCAAAATCATTTCCCGAAACATTCAAAAGAAATGTATAAATTGTGCAAAGTATTTTTAATACATTTAAAAAACAATCTCCCTCTCACCACTAGGGAATGCTGCAGCACCCCCAGCACCCCCACTTCCCATGGCCGTGCATCACATGCTGAATACATTTAAAGTGAATTTTGAGAAAGAGGCAATACATTCCCCACTTAAAACCAGATCTTTAGATCTCTGTTCACTTTTAAGGAACCGCATCCATGAAGCTGAAATGTTTGTCTATCAATTTGATCATTAAAACAATAAATAAAACATAACTGTTTACAACCCTGGATAGAACTTAAGAAAATATGGGTTTGTTGTTTTTTGGCAATTTGATTGCAGATGAAACAGCAGACTACCAGTCACATTTAACGAATCACTATTACATATATCCATCTTCCTTTCATCTTTTATTAAAGCTTTGTTTTTCCCTCAGTCGTCTGTCAACCTGAAAGTCTTACCCTCTTTGACCTCTCTCTGTCTCTTTACATTTTGGTAGAAATCACTATCAGGGTGGATGAGTCAGACTGCCTGTCCATGGCCAGCTCTCACGACCAAGAGACAGAGCGCTTCCTGTCCACCGGCCCCACAGGCCGCCGTGTCTCCTTCAATGAAGCTGCTCTCTTTGATCATGGCAAGAAAACCCAGGAGAAGGGCCGCAGGTCAGACAGCCAGCACATACACAGAGCCACACATTTGCAAATATCTTCTTTTTTTATGTCCTTTTGATTCAGCACTCATCTCTTGCACTGAATGGTTGCTGTTTTCTGAGATCAAAGCATGTAAACAATTCAGTATGTCCAACTTTTATGCTAGTGTAGTTCAGAGAATGTAGCCCATCTAGAATGTATTATATATGCTGTGGATACAAACAAGCATTTCAGATTTTTTTTTGCTGTCCTACTTCTCTCCCAAAACCTACAGTCTGAGATGCATATCTATCAAAATATATAAGAGGCAACAGTTCATTTTATGTTAAATGTGCGACACTTCCACTCGATGCAAATATGTTTATTTGCTTTCCATTTTTTAAAAAGATTTTGTTACATTGCCCTGCTTTCTATGTGACCATTTGTTTTTTTTTTATTTTTTTTTTTTTACGGAACCTGAGGAAATATATTTTTTTATTTTGTGTTTATCCCCTTTGAGTGTGTTCATACATAAAAAAACAATGTTTTTGCAAATTCTTTTCTAAAATCACACTGATAAAAATATTCAACTCTATCTACATAAAAAGGTTAAAGCAGCTACTCACATTATTCTTTATCTGAAAATCCAAGTAAAGCGAAATTACCTTTTTCAAGTAGTTCAGACAAAACAAAAGTTATTATATTTTTAATGTAGTAAATTAAATTGGCAAGTAAAAACAAATAGATTTTATTATAGAAAAAAATAAACATAAATAAATAGAATAAATAAATTACTTATATTTTCCAATGTTGAAAATTATATTGGCAAGTAAAACCATCTTGGTTTTGCATTGAAGCCCAAAACTAAACTTACATATTTTGTGTATAGCTATATAAATTGTACATAACTATAGATGCTGTATTCTGCATATATATCTATTTTGTCTGCACCATTAACACCTAATGAAATTCTTTGTAAGTGCAAACCTTCTTGGCAATAAACTTGAGTCTGATTCTGATTTACATAATTAATAATAATTTATTTAATTGTATCATATAGAAGAAGAAACCTAAGTTCTTGCATTCATTTTTTTTTAGATATTTACATTACTTCTGAAAGTGAAATGTTCTTTATTTATAACAGACTGAGCACAAATACCAATTCTGTTCATGTTTTAGCTTTTTCTGACATGAAATGTTAAATGTTTTTAGGTTAATGTAGAATTTTAACATAAGGATTAGCCTTGTTTTATAGAGATGGGATAGTCTGGATAGACATAGTTGTGTAAAGATACTAACCTGAAAGTCTTTTTCAGGATTCGCAATTAGCTTTACTTCTGGGCTTTGATTGGGCTATTTAAATTAATCTGCTTTCATCTGAATCATTTCATCGTAGCACTGGCTCAACATTGGTTGAGGTCAAGTTTTAAGGGTTTTGTAGCTTCAAACAGGTTTTCCCTCATTTACTTCTGTTCATCTTCCCACCAACTGCGACCAGTTTCACTCCCCTTCCTTTGCTGAAAAGCAGCCCACTGCCACTATCATGTGTTATTATAGAGAAAATGTGTTCAGGGCTATGAGCAGTGTTAATCTTTTGTCACATATACAGTACCTTTCAGTCTAAAATGATCTTCCTTTCACTAGTTATTGTGCTCCACATGCCTTTTGGCAAACTGCAAATAGGATTTCTTATGTCTTTCCTTCAACAGTCGCTTTTTTGCTCCTTTTTATTTTATTTTATTGCCACTCTTCCAATAAAGCCAGGATTGCAGAGAGCACTGCTAATATCTCCCATGTTGATTCATTCTATTCCCTAAGCTGTGGATCTCTTCACCCCCTCAGAAATATCATGGGCCTCCAGCCCATTTTCTCTGATTGATCCTCTCCTTGTTAATCTCTTCAGTGTGTTTGTTTGTTAGTTTTGCCATTGTGTCATAATCTTAATTTTCAAATGATGGAATAAACTGGGCTCTATCAGTCCTTTAAAATTCTTTAAAGCATTGTGTAGCATGTAATTTATCAGTGGTGAGTCTGGTGTTCGGTTGGATCATCTAAATAAGTGGTCCTTCCAATTATCACTTATTCTGGTGATATGTTTACATAAGGCCATCCTATGTGCTCGTCCCCATTTTCACTTAATGGTGCTTAGTCTGACATAGTGGAAAAATTGCAAATCTTCTTTTGGAAAGTAAGCTTGTATGAGCGATGCAAACAGTAACTTTTAAACAGAGTGTGCACGAGGAGAAATGGGCTTGTGCATGCTCAGGATGTGTTTAATAGGCGTTTACTCTCGGGAACGGGTACAGGGTTGTGCATGTGCAAGTGGAAAGGGTGGCTCTGCTCAAAAATTTGCGAAAATCCTCCACTATACCTTTAACTAATGATCTCCAGCAAACCGAGATGGTCACATAAGAGCTGCAAAACTGAGATGAAATAACATTTAGTTAATCTGTTAACTAGTGGCTGACCCCTGAAGACATGTGTTTTTACAGTATTTGTTGTTTTGGTTGCACTGCACCTATTTTGGTTTTATTTTCAGATTAAATGGGGCCTATTTCAAATTCATCACACTTTTTTTTATTGGAAACCCATGTATACTTTCCTTGTGCTTCATTATTAGTTTCTACATTTTCTCTTTTGTTTTATTGGTAGTGGTTGCAACAACACAAAACGTTGACAAGTTGAAATAATGGTAGTGTCTGTGGAAGGCCCTTTGCTGCAAACACTTATTTACCTATGCATCTCAGGTACACTCTGACCGAAGGCGACTTCCATCATCTGAAGAATACACGGCTCACAAACCTCAACATCCCCCCACCAGCACTCAAAATAGTCACTATTCACGAGTGTGACTCGGCTGAAAACACTATCACAGCAGTGGCGCGGCCTGTTGCTAAATCAGCTCTTTCCATATTCCAGGTCAGTGACTACAACTCTGGTTTCTGAATCATTGCTTTATTTAAGATGATTAAATAAGTAAACAATGCATGCTCAGATGAAGCGGAATAAAACAAGTTCCCTTTTTTTTGGTTATTTCCTTTTAGCCAATGCTTTGCCCCCTGCCACAAACACCTCTGATCAGCTTAGGCGTGAATCCCAGCTGTGCCCTCCCTGGGGATACACTCAATTCGGTGGTTGACACCAGTTTCTGTGAGAACTCTGCAGCTCTTGGCAAAAAGGAGCTAAGTTCCAGCTCTGTAAGTAACATCAACGTAAAATTAAATATACATATTAACATTCAGTCTATGAAAAATACCAAGTATGGATATGAACACTGTCCAAAGATGTAGAAAAAAACTGAAATAAGTGGGCATGATCCAGGTCAAAATGATGCTGACATGGATAATATTTTTTTTTGAGTGATGCATTTTAAACCAGCCTTTGCGCCTTATGTAATCTAAACAAAGTTTGATGGTTAAAGAATAAATGTGGAAACACCCCTTCAAAGAGATAGACTAGGCAGATTTTTTTACATTTCCAATTTTCTGTGTCTTTCCTCAGATTGAGATGATGCGAGCGAGGCCCCGGGACAGAGGCAGCAGCGTTAGCATTGGAGAGGCAGTGCCAGCCATGGGAAACAGTGGCATGGGCCCCGCTGGCAGCATTGCTGGAAGTCCAAGGCCCGTCTTGCAGTTTCTCACTAAACTACGGCGCCATGCTAGTCTGGAGGGAGCCAGCCCCTACTTCAAAATAAAAAAGTGGAAACTGGATAGCAGCCAACGAGCATCCAGCCTGGATACAAGAGGTAATTTCTGATCAATTATTTTTTTATCATTCCTTGTTATTTTCTGTAGTAATTTCTTGTTGTTTGCCTGTGTTGCATGTTTGCCAATATCCTCATGGTAAACAGACATGGATTTGCAGGGAGCTGCAGCAACCAACTGTGAGCTGCCTTTTGACTGGACTGAATGTACACACAGGCATGCAACCCAGATGGCTCAATGACGTAAAATTTGAGCCATCCGCTTTCCAAATAATTTTTATCCCTCCACTCAATCCTCCCTGCCGCTCACCTCGCCTACTAGACACACTCTCCCCCCCAGTTTCTCCCGATGCTCTTTTATTTTCTGCTCCAAAGAGATCTCAAAATCCCAAACAGTCGGGCAGAGCTTTCAGCTGAATTAAGCCTAACTTTGCTCCTGCTGTCTCAAAACTTGTCAAACTCACTTCTCTCTCTGCATGTTTGGTGTCTGCTAGGTTCTCCGAAACGAAGGCAGTTCCAGCGCCAGCGAGCCGCCAGCGAGAGCATGGACCAGGATGACGATACTCACCACATAGACCTCATCCAGTACATCGCTCGCACCCAGGATGTCCCATACTATCAGAGTCAACCCACCACACGCCTTCTGTCACCCCCATCTACACCACCCCCCTCCCTCGGCAGGTATCTTTAATTCCCTTGCCATTCATCCCGTCCACTGCTTTGCTGCTTTTCAACCATGTTTTACTGCAGCTACAGAAGCTGCGATTGTAATTTACACTGAAATGAAACTCTGACTCTTAATATTCCCACTCTAACCTGCTTAAGTTCTTAAAAGGTTATTTTACCAGGTTTAAGACTTATACACCAATATAGTCTGGAAACATAGGAGATTTCACTCAAGTTTTCCAAAATCTGGAAATTTATAGACAAATATTTGAATTACAAAACTATTTATCATTTACAAACCATATGTGTGTATCCATCTTTTCAGTCATTTACATTCATTCTGTTTGTCTGTCCATCCATCCATCCATCCATCCATCCATCCATCCATCCATCCATCCATCCATCCATCCATCCATCCATCCATCCATCCATCCATCCATCCACTCCTCTGTCTGTTCATCCATTGCTCCGTCCATTCACCCATCCATCTGTACATCCCTCCATCCACCCATCCGTCCATCCATCCATCCATCCATCCATCCATCCATCCATCCATCCATCCATCCATCCATCCATCCATCCATCCATCCATCCATCCATCCATCCATCCATCCATCCATCCATCCATCCATCCATCCATCCATCTAAAAATTCACAAAAAGCTTAATTCTGGCAAAATATGGAATTTGGCCTTAAACAATGTGAGGCAACCATGTATATGGGTTAAAAAGAAAGAAGAAAATGCAATCAGCTGTGTTTATAAACTGCTCTTCTTCAGAGGAACAGTGAGATGTAATCAGCTCACAACAATTTGCTGTAGTAAATCGACCCTTTGACAAAGTCCCAGTAAACAAGAAGTCTTTTAAACCCAATTTCATGTTTTAAGCAGGATGTCGGGGAATCCCCCAGCCCAAGGGGGGTGGAGAATTGGGATGCAGAGTTTATTTCTGGCTTAAAAGCCCCTTCCATTGCTGACATAGCTGGGTAATTTCACAATGTCCTCAAACAGTAGATTGTTTGTTTTCTATCTTCATATGTTTGTTAAATCCCTTTGCTTTTATAAAGCAAAAACATTTCTTTGAATACATGCTTTGGTTTTCTAGTATTACAAATTAGTTAAATATACAAACTGTATTATTTCTTGTGTTTATTTGCTAATATTCTATATGTGATTAACTTTCTGGAAGCTGCCGTGTGTAAACTCATTCTTTTCTAGCCTCTTGCTCAGTCACTCGTCATTTTATGCCTTATGGAACAAACATTTTTTTGTCAAACCAATAACAGCGCTACTATTGTGGTTCCTCTGACTCCAGAGGTTTAACTCTCATGCGACATTCAGCTGAAGCCATTGCAAGTCATGAAAATCATTGTGTGCACTGTGAACACAAATATGTGTCAGAACGATATGTTTCTCAGGTCAGTTGCGCTGACATTAACACTTGTGTTGCACTTATTTCGTTCAGTTTCGTTTATTATTGCATTTTATTTTGTCTCCCAATCCCTGTGTCCACACTGCAGGGTAGAGGTAGAGGTGGTGGTGGAGCCCAGCTGCAGCCACGATGGGCCCGAGGTGATTGGCTTGTCCCCTGATCCTCAAAAAGAGACCCTCTCTGTGGGGAGGAGGGAAGGCGGCTACTCCTCGGACTCCTTCCAACCCCAAGATCCACAATCACTTTATAGAGACATATGGACACTACGCGCATCCCTTGAGAAGTACGCTGCCTCTGACCAGAGCAGCAACAATGACAGGAACTCAGTTTGCGGTGATGCTGACAGTGTCTGTTCACTTGGTGGACGGACAGATGGTGAGAAAGGAGGGCTTCCTAGTCAACAATCCCAGGACTTAGGGGACGAGGCAGAGGGGGGAGAGGAAGACAATGAGTTCTTTGCACATGAGGATAAGGGGTTTGGTATACAAGAGACAAGAAAGAGAAAATACGGTAGCACAGAATCAGAGCGAAGGGGTAGTGATGCAGAATCCGGTACTCGTAAACTGTTACAGATGGACAGCGGCTATGCGTCGATAGAGGCTCCTTCTCGAGGTCCAGACGACCTGAGACTGTTTAGCAGCAGTAGCATCACTGGAAGTCCTAAAGACAGAACTGCCCATGAAAAAAGGCATCATTTCACCAATGCGGGGAGGACAGGTACTATTGGTGAGAGTTTTGAGTCTCATTTGTTTGAGGAGGAGCCTGAGGATGAGTTGTTAATGGGTGCCAGTGGAGGGGTTTCTATGGAAATAGGAGCTAGTGCTTTAAGCTGGCAGCCATATGGTCAGATAATCACCCCACGAGAGGCTGAACTACCTCCATCTCAGCTGATTCCCCTTCACCGGCGTGACTACAGCATAGATGAGAAAACAGACGCACTCTTCCATGAGTTTCTCCGCCATGACCCTCAGTTCGACCTGCAGGAGTCGCCTAGAAAACATCGCTCCCGTATCCATCTTCGCAAACAGTGGCAGCGTCACAAGCAATGGAGCGATCCTGGAGTCAGACACTTCCATTCTTCCTTTGAGAGACACAGACTCCCTCTTCGGAGGGGGGAAAGTGTAAACTACCCCTTGGACACAAGTTACCACACTACACTGCCCCGCATTGTCAGTGCTCCTGACGAGGAGACCAGCGATGGAACTTGCAGCACCCCCGACACCCCAAAAGTCAAGCCAACGTCTACTGTTTCTCCAGAAAGGGAAAGGAAACTCAATGTCAAAGATTCTGAGGAACAAACATCTTCCACTCTTCCATCTTCCATCTTCCCATCTGAAAAAGACAGAGGACTGGCTGAGCAAGTTGACACTAAGGAGGATGGCAAACAATGTGGGCACCTTGCTGAACCCCTGGATGAGCGCTCACCCCCTCACCTGCCTGAGTCTTCGGGGTATGGTCCTCAAACAATCACAGCCGAGCTTACGGAAAAACTGACTGCTAACCTGGATGAGAGACTGTACACAGCCCTTCACCAGACCAAGGACACAACCATGGAGTGTGTAACAGTGACAGCAACATGTGCATCCCCGGACCATAGCCCAGTGTAGCAGGGCTCCAATCATCCACTTTGTCAGCATCCCTTTTCCTGATACAAATTTTCATTTATTTTGGTTTGCTTTCATTAAGTTCTGTCTTGCATGGCTTGATTGGGGAAGTTTAGAGCCATGAATAAAACATCCAAATTATACTTTCAATCAATCACCACAAAAATCTAGAAACCATGAGATCTGAAAGAAATATGCCTAATTTAAGCATTCTAAGTTGTTTAAAATGAAAATACCTTAATTATTTTAAAGAATTGTTTACAAGAGTAACATGTCAAAGTATTTTACTGATAACTTTTATTTATAGCCAATCTATGCCTGGATTCAGCATTTTTGAAAGCATTGATGTCCTTCCAGTGAAAATACCTGAAAGTGAGGGCAATTACAGCCTCTGCTCACTGATCCACTGTGAAACCAGGTGCTATTGGACAAGTGGAAAGCTCTTGAAACGGTCGCAGTTGTTCCTTCCTAGTCATAGTTGGCTAACTAAATGAATGATTAGACTTTGATCAATGTTCCCTCTAAGCTGCGTGGCTGCGGAATTGCGTGCTACTCAAGCATTCCCAGCGCCTATGAAAATCTAAGCAGTGCATAAAATAAAATTCATTATAAACTGCAATCAATTGGACCAATAACATGTTTGTCTTTATCATTTTGAATTCATGTATAAATTTTTTTCAACTTAAAACCATCAATGAACATATCCCCAAATTCTGTTTCCTAATATAAAAATGGAAAACAGTCTATCTAGCGAACGATCTACTCTTCCAACCCAGTTTATAATATCTCTATCAAATCATCTTTATAACAAATATAAATACAGTTAAGAGTTTTATTAGGGTGAATATGTTTCATTAAAAGTAAGTGTCACACAACAAAGAGCTAGGATTGAGGATTAGGGCTACTAAAATTTTTTTTTTAAAGTTAACTGACTATTTTATTTGAGATTAATATGGGAATAGAGCATAATTCTGACTTCTTTCTCAGAATTCTGACTTTAATCTTCGAATTCTGACTTTAATATCAGAATTCTGGTTTTAATCTTCGGAGATTAAAAACAAAGTTCTAAGATTAAGGTGAGAATTCTGACTTTCTTCCCATATTAAACTCAAATAATATTTAAAAAATTGTTAACTTTTAAACATTTTTCCAGTCTTCATAATTCTCTCCCAGGGAGGTACAGTGCAAGAAATAATCCAACATAAGAAAAATATGCGGCGACCCAAAGTATTTACCAGTCTGGTCTTCCGGTGTTCTGTCAGATCAGCATACCCCATCAGACCAGCATACCCATAGTCAGTACGCATGCGCAAGACGTCAGATTTGCATATGTCGTGTCATATGATAAACAAAAAGTTGTACTTTCACGGTAAACACACACACAATTACCAGAAAAGCAGACCGAAAGTCAAGCACAATGAAACTCACCACTTTGCAACAGCCCTGCAATCCAAATTTAAGTCAGGGTTAAGTCATTTTGTTCCTATTCCAGTGACATTTATTAAAGCCTTTTTTATTTATTTACTTATCTATATTAATCATGAAATGCTTATACTGTTATATAATTTATAGAAATGCTAAGAAAATTCTGATTTAAAAATTAGTTATAAGAATTTGTAGTGTATAAAAAGCACAGCACGCATTTCATTGTAGGAATGTTTTAATGTGAACAAAAAGTTCTTTCTGAAGGTTTATTTTTTCGTTTCTTCCAGAGCAGGAGCCTGACCCTGGCCAAATCTGGACTGTTACATATAGTATACCATGTATCTAATGGACAACGTTTTTTTTTTTTTTTTCATTTTAAATCGGCCAAATCACCTAAATTAGAAGTAAACTAATGGGAATTGCTGCACTAATCTCTTAAATTTTAATAAGCCATATAGCTTGCTATGATCCTAGGTTTATAACAAGTTTAATATTGGTGTGTGGGAACAGAATGCACATGTGATGCGGCCCACACTGGTCCTCAGCCTACTCAGGGGGCTTGTGTGTATAACCAGACAAATAGAAAATTTAGAGGGAACATTGCTTTTAATTAATCTCTCAAAACCATTTTGGGAAAGTTAATTTCCATGTGACTGTAGGTCAGGTTAAAAATTTACAAGCCAAGCATTTGAAAGGCAAGGCAAATTTCTGGTGGGGTGCATTCATTTGAAGGGGTTCTAATTATTTCTCTTTGCTTAGTCCATTCCTCAGCTTTGCTGCTGCTTCTTTGTTAACTTGTATTTTATTTATTGGGATTCTCATATGCTTTGAGAACATCTTTACAAATTTTAAAGTGTATATGTAAGACCTCTATGAGCTCCTATTGCTTTGGGCCTCACTGACACAATGGGATTCTATTGCGACATGAAAAATAGACTTTTTTGTTTACGGGTCTGTAGCCATCTATTAAGCAGTTGTATAAAAACTACTGAACATGACAGGTTTTTTCCAATATGAGAAAACTATTAGATCCACACCAGGCTTTTTTTTGTTTTTTTTTTTTACATCCTTTAGCTTTTAGCATACACCAATCATAACATAATGAACACTAGCTTTTAAAGTAAAATACTCTTTATTCTTTCATAACAAAAAAAACCCCTCCAATGTGTTGGAATTTGATGCCTTTTTACCATCTTTTTGTTCTTTTTTGATGACTAAGTGGGCCGTGAAGTCAAACTTTGCCCCTCCAGAGTATCATGAAACAATTTAAAAGTGGTCTCTGTGGCCAGCTAGTTGAAAGATGTTTTCTAAAAAATAACTGAGCAGAGACCACCTCTTTTCAGCTTGTTGCACATCGTTTCTACTTATAAACACACAGGATGAATTTCTCTGATGTGTGACAAGACAGATTAAAGCACTGAACTTCAGCAAAATGTCTACTTTTCAGGAGCGCTTATAGTGGAAAATAAAACACACAAAGCGGATGTCTTTACAGCTACAGCTTTCTGACGATGTTACATTCTTCCTCGAGCTTGCAGATCTCCTGCAGAGTGGCTTGTCATTATGGGTTAATGCTGGAAACATTGTATAAAGCCCCTGTCACACCTTAACGACTTAGACAGCGTATCCCTGACGTCCCAGAATCTTCTAAAACACTGGAATACCCTGAACTGTCTATGTATTTTTTGAATTTTGGGCATATGCATAGAGTATTCATAACAAGTCCAGAGTGTGTGCCCAACGACAGCCTAACTTATGCATAACGCATGGCAGCATAATGCCCATGAAATGTCACAAGCCAGTCCTGAGGGGGGCGGCAATGCGTCTGGAGGTGCCCGACCTGCATAAAAAGATTTCTTTGATCGCTGTATTAACCTAGTGGCCGTTTACCTCCATTTCCTCCTTTGGACCCCCTTTTATACCAAAACGCTGCCATTACACCATTATACAGTAGCTGTAAGTTAGAAACATGTCCAGCAGTTGTCTGGAACACGTCAGATACATTGATATGTGCTGGAGATTAGTTCTTGTTAAGTTACGCATAAGTTATGCATAAGTTACTCATAGGTTTTAGATAAGCTAGATACCATGACTTATGAGTAACCTACACTTAACGTTTATCAATGATTAAATAACTTACCTGTAACATATGACCCATGTATGAGCATACGCTGACATAAGTACTTGTCGACGTGTGCTAGCGTGCATCAGCGTCCTCATCACTGATACAAAACTCACCCATAACTTATCCAATGTATGCCAGCGTTTTTGCCAGATTTTTCGTACGTCAGGCTAAATCGTCAAGGTGTGACGGGGCTTCAGGGAGGCTACTGATTACCACTTCAATATGATACTTGGTGAGAAACATTAGGCAGCAAGAGACAGATTTTTTCTTCATATTATGTGTAAGAAAAAGTTCAGAAAAGGCTGATATGGTATGCTTGGACAATAGAGTCAGAGCACCTCCTAAAACTGCAGCATTCTTGGTCTTTAGTGTTCAGTATCTATTAAAAGGGATCAAAGCTCTGTGAACTGGCAACAGAGAAGTGACTCAATTTTGTATGTGGGAAGTAAGGTTTGGATTGAATGCTCCACCAAAAGCCATAGATGTCATAGATGATCACTACATGGCACTGTCATTGCCTTTCTCTTCTACAGCTGGAAGACTCTTTTAAAAGTGAGTCCAACTGATATTTATATTATTTAATCCAACATTTGTTCCTCTGTTATTCCTCTTTCTGTGTGATCCTAATAATTAGGAGCTGCCTTTCAAGTAAAATGACATATTTTGATTATTCATCAAGAGTAAAGACAGGACAAATTATTATATGTTAAATAATCCTGAGCATATCTGTCTCTCTGATGCTTAGCAAAGGCACCTCTGCAGACGATGGGGATGAATATTAATCATATAAGGAAGGGGATAGACCTCTTTTTATCCCACATCTCTGTTTTCTCAGTCTTGGAGGCTGCAGCCTTGCAGTAAATGGAAAGGTCTCCCTCTCTATTAGTGTGGGTGAAAGATGATGATAATGCCTCTCCCCTTCCTGCACAGATTAGATCTTCTCCTTCTGCATGAAAAGAGTCTTCTGTTATGGCAAAGTGGGCAGGAGGAGAATTCCCCGTCCAACTGAGATGAAAGGAGGTGAATGCAAATAAGAGAGTGGAGATCCTTGTAACTGCTGTTCTTTACCGTCATTCATACACCATGCATATGAATCTGTTATCTCCCAAATATGTTATGTCATCAGCTGAAAGGTAATAAGATAACATAAACACCAGTGGGTGAGATGTGTCTTATGAAAGAGGAAGGTAGCGGCTTTCTTTGCACGTCAAAAGCCTGAAATATCTGATCTGAGTCGGTATTAAAAAGACAGCTTAGAAACCATAAAACCAATGGTTAAGAGAAATAGTGGAAATGTAACAATAATACAGTTTGCTGTGTATTCAAGCACAATATTTCAAGAGCTAGACTAAATCAATGTTCTTCATTAGATTTAGGATGATACTGTAAAAGTGAAGTAAATGGTGTTTGTACACATTTGGTACGCATTGGTGCCATAGCCACATTTAGGACTGCATGACAGTTAACATTTCATAATGGATTCTTTATCCTTTTCTCAGAGTTATGGTACAAAATAATCAAATCCATAATTTATCATCATTGTTAAAGGCAGACTTTTTTTTTTTTATTCAGAAATGCTTTTAAGAGTCAGACTCAAACGATATAACCCATTAGATTTTGTGAGATTTATCACTTGGAATGTAAATCTGTGTTCATTGCTTGTTTGTAAACATTTCTTTAGGGAACAAAATGTTGTACGCTTTCATAGCAATTTTGCTTCTGTTGAGTCAAATTTATTTAAGCTTGAGGGACCAAATTGTTTTAAAAACAGGTGTTTATTTTAGGCTTGTTTTACAATCTGTGAATAAATGAATGAAGTAAAGCCTGCCAGAGTGTGCTTTATTCAAAGGTTTTGATAGTTTATTAGTGGTGGGAAAATAACAGAGCCCAGGCTGCCTCTTATGAATCCCCTTTCATTTTGCTCTCTGTGTTTCTTCCACTCTTATTGATTTTGTTTGTGCCTCTACTTCTTATCATTACCCCATATTAGTTGGAGAGAGCAGGGAAATCAAGTCCGTCATCGAGAATAGGGGATTCTAAAATGTTTGCTTTATGCTTGTCTTTTTCTCCCTGTAGTCAGATGGAGGTTTTAATATTCTAAGATAAGAACAGCTTAACACAGCCACACCATGGGATTTTACTGAGGTGGAGACAGGTTTAACTTAAATCATACTGAAAAGACAAGCTATCGCAATCTAGTTATTTTCTTATTGAATTGACCAGTATGCTACATTGGCAAAGTTGCTTCTGTATTCATTCTAGATGATTGGCACTGAGTGCTGATCAGTGTCGGACAAATAATGAGATTTCATGAAATGTTAAATGAATTAATGCAAAACAAAATTATCTCTATTTTGCCTCCCAGCGCTGCAAGATTTTCCAACCCTACTTTCATGCTCTTCAAGGAAATTACAACTTTGTACTTCTATCCCAGTTTTACAACTTTCAACTTCCCCATCTAACCTTTCGTTCTTCTGCAGACTGCAGTGCAAACATACACATAACATGATGTCAACTTTGACTTTAAACTTGAAGATTATTTATATCTCAATCAGATCCAAGATATCTGCTCTCTAATAATGTCAGGTATTTTTTCTTTCCTTCTTTCTTACTCTCTTCCAGGGGCTGGGTAACTGCCTCCAAGCAGTCATTGCTTTAACTGATTCAGTGATAGTTGAAAGAAGATGCCTGCTTGAGACTGATTAATGCAGAAGGGGCAGTGATCTTTATGCAATTAAACCAATAGAAAAACACCATGACTGACCTTAATCCACATGTCTAATAAAATGTTGGCAAAGCCTCTACAGTTACTTTTCACCAGATTTTGAAATTGTGTTTTTTGATCGTCCTTTCAGAATTGCCTTAGCGAGGTCCTGAACTAAGGTTGTAGCATCTTTATTTAGAGAGTTGTGGGGTTCCGACTACTTACAGCAATTAGTAGTCCTTTACTAGTGTTACTAAAATCAACTCGTAAGAAAGTTTTTCTTGTGAAGTGCTTCAGATGATAATTATGATGATTTGAAATGAAAAAAAACTGAATTGCTGTAGACTGTGAGTTTAAATTCTGAATAAAATGCAAAGTTTGCAGTAAGCGTTGGAGTTGGCGTAGTGTAAAATGGGGAACAGATTGCTAAGAAGAAACTTACCTGAATATAATTAGCGCAGACTGAGCAACAATGGATGTTGAAGAGTTAGTAGATTTGTCAGACAATTAAACATTCAACCATCCATCTTCTCCAACTTATTCTGTCAGGGGCGTGGTGGAGCCGTTGCCTATTTCCGGTGTTCTGTCAGATCAGCATATCCGATCAGACCAGCATATCCAAAGTCAATACCTGTATATCCCTTTAGTTTTGTAAGAAAATACACAAACAACTACAGGTGCTTGGCTCCAGGTACTTAGAGATTCACTTCCAAACAGAAACCCCACATTCATATCTTCAGGTAACACAGAGTACATGTCAGACTTAATAATATTACTTTAGCGATAGTTTAAAGGTGTTGCTTTATTGTATATCTCGTACCATGTCTTTTGGTTGTGCTGTTCTTTTTTCATCTCGTTACAGGTGATGAAGCAGACTGAAAATGTTTTTTCATTGTCTCCTTTCTATCTCCTCTTTCTTTCATCTTTTCTCTTTTTTCCTTTTTCTTCTGTGTTTCTGCTCTACTTACATTGCAGTGTCCATATAAACTGTAAAACTCCCTGCATAATTATATTAAAGCAATTTATATGCATGAAACAAGTGGAGCAGTATGGCAATTGCCATACTGCTACACTTGTGAAAGTAAAATCTGTTGGGCTCTTTTTGGCATCAAGACAATTATTCTTATTGCCACATTGCCAGACAGGACACTGTAAAAAAGAAAAAAGAAAAAAGAAAATACACTTTAAATTACCTCAACGGACGTGTATCCCTTTATCAAATACAAAAAAAAAACAATTTTATTACTTTTTTTGGGTGTTTTTTGAAGCGTGTGGCAATCTGACCTTAAATTGTTTTTTGTACAGTACATGACCAAAGGGATACACGCCCGTCAAGGTAGTTTAAAGTGTATTTTTTGTACAAAACTAAAGGGATAAACTAAAGGGATAATGCGCATGCGTATTGACTATGCGTGTGCTGCTCTGACAGGGTATGCTGAATTGACAGAACACCGGCTGTCCATGGGTGAGGGGCGGGGTACACCCTGGACAGGTCACCAGTCTGTCGCAGGGAAACCCTATAGACACACAAAGACATACAACCCTGCATGCACATACTTTCACCTCAGGTCAATGCAGACATGCTATTTAACCTAACGGTCATTTTTTTGGACTGTTGGAGCAAGCCAGAGTACCCAGACAGATCCCACGCATGCACAGGGAGAACCTGCAAACCCCATGCAGAAAGAGCCCGGGCCGGGAACCTTCTTGTGCAAGGCAGAGTATAAAAAACACTGACACCTTGCAGCCCCCATTAAACATCAATTCAAATAAGAACAGGATAAAGCAACAAAATATTGGAAAAGACTTTAAATTATAGTATATTTTAATACTTAGATTGGCTTGATTTCTATACCGATTTGCCACTGTCCAAATTCATGAAATTAGAATCAGTTTTTACAGAAAATGTATTCTCAGCAAAATCACTAATTTTATACAGTGCTTTGTAATTCACTGATGGGCTGCAGGATGAAAGGAGCAGACTACTAAAAGCTAAATCCATTCATTAAAAGTGGGGATGGATGAAAGGCTTTGGGGAGGCTGAGATTAATCTTTGTTGAAAGCAAGAGACATCTACGGTCTCTTAAAGCCTTCCTGATTTTATTTCTCTCTTTTGCATCATACCAAGGCTTAGCTCCACCAGTCTCCGATGTCTGCTGGCCACTAACCAAGGATGACACCTCCAGTGGTAGAATTCAATTGGTTTGTCCTTCAGTATGTGGAGAGGTCCTCATTGTCATCTTCAGAGTAGCAAATCAAGAATATCTCCCGATAATAATTCAAATCACCCATGCATACTGTTCCTCATCCTAAAATCTCCATTCAGAGTGAGAGAATCAGATATAAATATGGTCATATTCTTTATTATTAATATGTTTTAACTGTGTTATCTTGTTAATGCAAAAAAGGTTAGCTGTTCTCACTTATCTCAAAGATGTTTGTAAATAAAGTGAGATTTTATAAAAGTCAATACATTACATCTATGAAATCAATGCATCCTTACTGGTTAGATAAATATAGTGTCATGATCGGCTTTACGAATCTGACCCACATGCAGAGAAACCACTCAGAGAGCATGGAAAAAGTTTAACATGTTTATTGAGGGAGTAATACAGGATCTGGATCTTGGATCTGGAACTCAGTGAGCTGGTGACCCGGAACTGGAAGTGAGAAGGGAAGTTCAGAGGTGAGTTTAGGGAATGTGGGAATCTTGGAAGTACTCAGATTATGCAAGAATGGGACTCACGTTTGAGGGGGACGTTGTTAGTCCTTGAATACAGTCTCTGTGTAAAATCCAGAGAATAGTGCACACGTTGGAGGGCGGACAGGTAGACAAGCGTCGGAGCCGGAGGAGTAATGGAGCGGACTGTCACTTGGATTTCCAAGTTGAACGGAACTCGGTGTAACTCAGCTCAGTGTAACTCGGTTATTCCTTCCAGGGGGGAGAAGGTCCAGGAATCCAGTAACACAGGAAAGCTTTCTGCCCCAGAGCAAAGACAAAAAAACTCGTAAGACTCGGAGAAACAAAGCTAGGTTAGACTCAGCTAAACTTAGCTTGGCTAGAGTACCCAAAACTGGCAAACACTCTGGCGTTGAGGTAGTGACAGCCCACTGCTCAAATACTCCTCCAGATTATGATCCAATTAGCTGCAGGTGTGCATGGAGGGACAGCGAAGACAGGGCACCTCCTGGTGGTGGAAAAAGGCAACACACAAACAGGCCACACAAACTGCATTCCTAACATATAGATAGGCAAAAATTGAGTATGTGACTCAGATGGGTATTAAAAAATCTATTATTTTCTCTAACTTTCCAGTAGCTGTATTCCTCTATGTAAATGAAAAGTTTAGTACAGAGATGTGCCTCGGTATTGGGCCAAAATATTTGCAATTTACCCGATTCATTTGCTCATCTCTACAGTCATGACAGCTTATTATAGTCAGGGAAACAGACTGTATTATATATTATTCAGTCACATTTGTTCAACCTTAAATTATTATAGTATGTGACGCTGCAAACTAAATGTACATTGGTTAGCTGCTGATCTCACCATTTATAAGTCTGCAAAATGTACCCCAATTTTTAATGTACATTAATGTACACCCCAAGTTATAATGAACATTTTTAGCGGAGCTGAGGTACTAATTATAGTTTTTATTTTATAGAAATAGACCATGCTTTTTTTTATGTGTTAATAAAAAGATTTTCCTGTAATACCAAAAGTTGATTATTGTAAAACAGAGTTGACAAAGCAGATCCTGGTAGAATGTTAAATAGGCATAAAGCTTAAAAAAGAAGTGTACATTAGACTAGGAATTGGATACTGTCTTATCCCATGTTTATTCGAACAAGTTGGTGATATTATTTATTCGCAAGCTCCTGTTGATTTTCAGTTATTGCTGGAGATTCATCACTTGTTGCAAACATCTTATAAACAATTAAACCTTATACTATTTGGCACAATGGATTAGACACAGGCTCCTGCATTAATTAATGTTCATTTATAAATCACTGACTGGGTTACTACCAGTCTAACTAACCCCTTATGTCAGCTAACCATGACAGCCTCAGTACAGACATGTATTTAATTATGTCTTCAGTACAGAACTACTGCAATT